TATAAATATACTTTGACATTTGAGTTATTTATAAATCAAGAAGGATGAACTTTTGGATGTTCGATATTATATTATCCGTTTTTTTCTCAAATTTACGGATCCGGCATTATTGTTCGCAGCATGGCTATTACAGTATTACTCCACGACCATTCGTGCCGTGATGATAATTTGTTTATTAACTGAATATTGATATTTGACCAGAAATTGAGAGGATGAAATTATCAAATTTGGCACATATAATATGTGGATTCCTTTATAATTATATGGGCTTACGTATAATATGTGCCTTCATTGGTCGCTTGAAAGGTTTGGTTGAAATTATAAGGCAGTTGAAAAAACGATAGATCTATGCTATGTTCAATCGATACTATATTTTTATTGTTTTCTTTCTACGCTCAGGTATATAAATATAATATATTTTTAAAGTAATTATTATAGTGGAAGAGAGAATCCACAACTTTGAATGACCAAATATGGTATTGTTCAATGGTCTTTCAATCAACTTCTCAACCAACTTCTTATTCTTAATCAACCGATGAAGACACGTACGAGACTAAGTTATACTTTTGTATACTAACTTGCAGCCAGTAGCTGCAAGAAGGCGCACACACAAGCTCAGTTATGGTTATTTTTGGCGCATGGTTGCTTCGCGGGCTTGATGCTCCCTCAAAAGTACGATCACGAGCTTTTGTTTGTTAGATCAGCCGTGATCAGTAACTCGAACTTAATTAGCTTTACAGATGATTCCAATGTTGTGAATGTTTTTTGCAATTATCGTTTGCATTATGTAAATATTATCTATAGTAGAAACTATTTATGGAATAACTAAGTATATAATAACAATCGAGACCTCCAGAGGCGACATATAAGTGCAGTGGGTGCAGATTGCAGAATCGCACTATTGCTACACTATTGCTATATTTACTAGCTTTACAGATGATTCAAAAATGGTTGCTAATGTCCAATGTTGTGAGTGTTTTTTGCAATTATCGTTTTATTATTATTTATTTGCATTATGTAAATATTATCTATAGTATTAGTAGAAACTATTTATGGAATAACTAAGTATATAATAACAATCGAGACCTCCAGAGGCGACATATAAGTGCGGTGGGTGCAGAATCGCACTATTGCTACACTATTGCTATATTGCTAAAAACACACAATTTTTCCTTTAAACATTAAAGAAAAATTCCCAGAAAGTTCATTATTACTGCATATTATCAGATGTCAAGTGCAGATACCATCGATAGTTGAGAAAAAAAACAAAAGAAGATGAATCTTGGCAAATGAATTAGTCCTCAAGCTGAATCGCAATACCTCAACAAATCGAAATGCAGGCATTTTAGCGCCTTATAGTATATATACACACTTACACACATAGTTAATACACACATTATGGTTGGAATCTAAATATGTTGTATAAAATTACAATGCATTTACCCCACAAATAAGATGGACAGGATGACCGCGGTCATTCTGCCCATCTTATTGTAAAATCTTGATTTGTGACTTGTGGGGGTGATTCTAGAGTCGATACATCACAGTGCTGGCAAGCACGACCGTTGCATTTATTGTGGGTATACTATGTACCCCATTTATTATTATACCCCCTTTACTATAATTATACCCCCTTTGGTACACGTTACAAGCTTCTTTCGTGCACGCGAAGCGTGCACTCCGGCCGGAGGCGGCGGCCGAAGGCCGCCGCCTCCGGCAGGAGTTTTTCAGGCATTAAGAAGTCGTTCAGCAGATTTATTTTTAGTTCAAAACATTCTAATTTGATGTCAAAGATGACAGGAATAAAAAATAGTTATGTTGAGATTTTTAAGAAATTTGCATAAAATACTCGCCAGCACTGTTATACGAAATTCGGTAAAAAACCCAAAATCGCCATATTCAGGTGCCTTAAAAACCATATTAAAATTGAGTTAGAGATCTGAAATTTTTCAGGGCGTCTAGACGTTGACCAAATCGACTGCAAAAAAGGTTTCAGGCTTCAGGAGCATCGGGAAGTGGGTTTTCTAGAACCCCTGTTTTACGACAGATTGTCGTGATACATATTCAGGGATAGACGCTTTGACAGTCAAATATAGTCAATTGTATCCTAAATTTAGGTGTCCATAGATTCAAAAGTATAAAAGATACAGCCATTTCCGACCACAGGTCTTTAAAATAATTGTTTACACTTTAGTTTACATTGTATAAAAAAATTATTTGACGTCATAAACACCCCTTGATGACGTCATCAAGTTAACCGTTTTTAAAACTTGATTTTCGACAAAGTAATAACTTCTAAAATTGATTTAACACTATTTAAAAGTAATTTTTTTCAACATCTGAGGAAATTTTCACCTTAGATAATTGTTCAAGCATTCTGAAAATCTACCGGAAAGTTTTCTTATCTTACTCCTTCATAAAGATATTTGCCTTTGAAGTTAGTGCTTTTTTGAAAAATTATTTTTTTAAAACGTCAATTTTGCGATTTAGTATTCTCTGGTGTTGGGCTATCCCTTGGGTTGTGGAGCTCAGTTCTGCTTCCTATAGGTATAAATTGTGCATTAGGCTAGTTTTAAAGTTGAAAATCAAAAAGTTGCACACGTGGGGACACGCCCAAATTGATTAAAAATTGCTAAAATCACTGAAAATTGGTGTTTTCACGATTTTTATCAACTTTGGAGTCCCGTTGTGATCCAAGTTCTATTTGAAATCTTTTGAAACTTTGCACGCTTATCAAACTATATATAAAATACCGCTATGCAAAAATTTACGGCGATTCAGTATTGGATGCGCACGTAACGTCCGCTCAAAGTTTGCACGTGCGAACGGTGAGAATTATGCTCATTCGTGATTTCGAACAAATTCTGCTTTACCACGACAGTTCAATGTCATTATAAATGAAGTTAATGGCAACTTGAATGATTATAATGTTTTATGTTCAGTCAGTGATAGACCGATATGCTTACTTAAACACAAGGAAATGTTTTTAAAGTAAAAATTTCGAAATCGTTGAAACTTCCTCCTTATTAATGAAGACATCAGTTTATATTTCGATTTTATAAAGTATCCTGATATGACATTATAATCAAAAAGAGATGATATTTTACCAAAACCCATAATCATGGGTAGAGTGGACCGCTGCCAGTGTCTCTCTTTCCCAAACAAAAGGAAATGATATTAATTTGATTGACCGTTCTCAAATGCAAAATGATACCGAGAATGAAATCGGTCGCTCGCTTTTTCCATTAATTTACAATTGTAATAGATTAAGAAGAACTACCCGAAGGCAGCTGTACTCAGCAATAAAGATTCAATAAACTTCAGCTAATTTACTAACTACCAGTACCACCCTTATCCCGAAATACTAGGTATATCGACCCGAACGCAACCCAAAGGAATTTGTACAGCATGTGATTGATTGTAAGCCGTGAATGAATACTAACTACCAGTACCACCCTTATCCCGAAATACTAGGTATATCGACCCGAACGCAACCCAAAGGAATTTTTACAGCATGTGATTGATTGTAAGCCGTGAATGAATGGGAAAAGCGAGCGACCGATTTCATTCTCGGTATCATTTTGCATTTGAGAACGGTCAATCAAATTAATATCATTTCCTTTTGTTTGGGAAAGAGAGACACTGGCAGCGGTCCACTCTACCCATGATTATGGGTTTTGGTAAAATCTTAAATAAATAATAATGCGTAATAATATTAATACAACGTTATACAACAGTAATTATAGGCTATTGGATAATTAAACCTGAGAGTACCTAAACGCTGCAAATTGGCAAATTGTTCAGCTCAAATCGCGTTGTTTTTTCCCAAATTTGCCGCACATAAAACAAATTCAGGCAAGTGCAGGATCGCACTATTTAAAAATTTTATCGCACAGGCTATATGCTACGTTTGGAAAACGTCCATTAAGGAAGCATAAAGTGATATCATCAAATTTATAATGCAAAAGGAAAAGAGTTTGTCAAATGTTAAAATAAAATATGAGAAAATATGCTTTTAGCGACCGACAAGTTATTTGAGCAGCTAGTACTAGTAGGTTGAATTTGAAAGAACGATCAAACTATACCATATAAGGTCAGTACAAACTCTGGATTCTTCTTTAACTTTGTTATAATGCATAATGTTCCCTTGTGAGATAAAATCTTGATACATGTTACGTATCCCAAATATCAGAGATATATATATATATTTTTCCGCCCTTCGCGCGCGAAAAGTGGCATGCAACGTATGTCAAATAAAATCCACAATTTGAAATTTCTATTGACTAAAATATTACATTGTTTCGTCGACTTTTTAACCGACCGAATATATTCGTGATACAGTAAAACCCCGCTTTATATCGTTCCCTAATTTACTGCACTTGTACTTGCTTTTTTTCCTGAAATATTTGGACAATGTCCAGTTTGTGAAACTTTAAATACGAACTATAACAAATAACAATACCCTGATTTCAAGCTGATTATCATGCTCGTTAGAAAGGTACCATGTGACGGGTGACCTGACTAGGAGTAGGACTAGGACTCAAAAACCAATTAATTAATCACGATTTACAGTACCTGCTATTTATTGTTCCCCAAACTTTGCGGAAAATTGAACATTGACCGGTTTTACCGTAAAAGTATTAGTAGCATGTGGCAGTAGTATTGCATGTAGCAGTAGTAACATGTAGCAGTAGTATTGCATGCCATCGTGGTCTAGGTGGTCTCCTGCACCTTTTCAACCTTTACGCGATGAAAAAAACTTAGCCCTAATTAAAACGTACATTGATCGTCGCTCTTATGGAAGACTATATGTATGATCTTAATTTTTCTATATTTAATCCCAAAAGTTTTCAGTATCGTTATAAATCGGTACACTTACTGAGCTTAAAAGCATTAATACATCAACATTTGGCTAAAAATGTTGACGAATGTCTCGACACCATAGAATGGTGTGTTTGAATGTTTAAAGAGAGTGCTGGTTTATAGTTCAAGTTGGTACATTAAGGTACACACAGCCCCTGGAGTATTCTTCTGTTCTTGGAACTTGAATAACATCATTTTGCTGTAGGTAGTATCAGCCTGTTGATGCTTTACAGCTGAAATTTTGTATTGTTTCGATGTTCTGCTGCTCTCGGAAGATGTTTGACAAATTGTTTGAAAGATTTACATTAACTTCTAGCACCGTGAAAGAAGAAGTGGTCGAAGAGGAGGACATGACCACCATTTTACCGGAACCGTGTAAATCAGGACTTCTTCAGATAACAGGTGAGTCACAGTCACAGTCACAGTCACAGTCACAGTCACAGTCACAGTCACAGTCACAGTCACAGTCACAGTCACAGTCACAGTCACAGTCACAGTCACAGTCACAGTCACAGTCACAGTCACAGTCACAGTCACAGTCACAGTCACAGTCACAGTCACAGTCACAGTCACAGTCACAGTCACAGTCACAGTCACAGTCACAGTCACAGTCACAGTCACAGTCACAGTCACAGTCACAGTCACAGTCACAGTCACAGTCACAGTCACAGTCACAGTCACAGTCACAGTCACAGTCACAGTCACAGTCACAGTCACAGTCACAGTCACAGTCACAGTCACAGTCACAGTCACAGTCACAGTCACAGTCACAGTCACAGTCACAGTCACAGTCACAGTCACAGTCACAGTCACAGTCACAGTCACAGTCACAGTCACAGTCACAGTCACAGTCACAGTCACTACTAGATAGCAAGTTTTCCCGCGAATTTATTTTACACATCGAATTTTAGGTGCAGTGGTTCAAAATTTGATAAAAATAGGACCGGTATTCAAATATGAATTAATAAGTCAAATATGTCCGACAACATATGTCAAGAAATAAATTATAGCGCAAGATACTCATTGTAAGCTAGAGCACTACAGTTAACAGTTCCTTGAAGAATGAAGATATTAATTTGAAAAAGGAATAATTATTGCACCTAAAGTTGAAATCTTTTTTCTCGCGCAAGGTAACAATATTTCAAAACCTTCATATATTTCTGTAGAAAAAGCGACCAATGCAATTTCAATAAGTTGCCTGGCGCGGGAGTGGGGACGATAGGCTAACTTGTTTTAGTTTTACAAAATATCCAAAATATTAAGGAGTCTACTAATTTAACATTTGAGGTCTTTCGATAATCGACCCTTATTATGGCTGATATTGATAGCGTTTATCAATTTACAGTGCACTCGGGGAAGAATTTAAGAAAAGCTGACATATTTGGTAAAGGAGACCCGTATGTAGTGATCAAGGTTAACAGGGTAAAGATCCATACAACAGTGGTGAAATATGGAACTGATTCTCCACGCTTCGAGGAATCTGTTCATGTAGGTATTTTCTCAGGCACTTAGCTTTATTATAAATATAGGTCACGGAGATATCGTGAACTTATAACGAATTAATAGATAATGGCTTTTAAATACATCGCGTTAAACCATAAACGTCCAATCCTAAATTTCGCGCCCGGAAGAAATATGTATTGTTATAATTAAATTATAATCAATCTTCTTTTGCAGTGCATTCTATCAGATATTAACGACTCTAAGCTAGCGTTTGAGGTGTATGACAAGGATATGATCGGGGTGGATGACACGATAGGATGTGCTTTTGTCAACTTATTCAAGAAACCCTCCATAGTGGTAAGAATAAGTCAAAATCATTCAGTTATAAGTGATAAAGTATTTTGGTATATTTATAATTGTGATAGTGATGATTGCAGTGATTCTCATTTACTGACTGGATTTGATTTTCAGAATATACTTCGTTAAGGTTTTTTCTGTTTGAATTTAAATGTGCTTGGACGTTTTGGTTAAGTAGAAGTGAATCCAATATTTCAACTTTGTTTATGCCGTATCCATGAAATAATTAAATTTCAGAATTCAGCATTATTGCTGTCACTGCCGGATATCAACGAATGTGGAAGCCTCTACGTTTCAGTGAGCTTCACACCTATGACTATCATTCGACCACCGTCGCCAGACGCCCACCACTGACTGCAACAAGCTCTACCGGTGACTGTTCCAATCAGTTGGGAACGCTGGACGTCACCCCAAAAAGTGACACTGGTCAACAAGTCCTGTCGTAAAGTAGACAATCTGTCGCGGACGGAATGAGCTGTTCCAGACATAATACCCTGATCAAGGGATTTTAATGCTTTAATGGATTTATAGTTACCATGGTGATGTACTAACCATAGTAACCATAGTAACCATGGTGTAGACTGTAGATGTATTTAAAATGCAATTATTCGGACATCACGTATTATATATTTGTGATGTTAGAGGTTTTGTCAAATATCTAATCTCATATGATGATTATGTACCCCATTCCTTACATGTAGTCCCACTTTTTAACATAACCCTAAAGCCTAAACCCAACCTTAGCCTAAACAGAACCCCTGGCGCCCTGATCAAAACCCCGCAATAACCCAGGCCTACACCCCACCCAGCTGAGCTTGTTCATGCAGACATGACATCACCTCAACTAGTTCTGTTAGAGATCTTCGGACAATTTGAGGAAGTACTTTAATCAAGTAATTTTGTGATAATCAAAAATTGATTTAATAGTTAACAGTTTAATAGTTTTATGAAACAGTAGAATTAACAAAATGTCGTATTTTCAGACCAAATATGGAAATACAAAGATACGCTCCTACTAAATCGCTCGCCCAAATTTTAAGAAAATTCTTGCGAAAAGAACTGTGAGGGCCACTAAATATACTTTGCTATATACTTATATAAATACTTCATAAGTTACTAAAGCAGTTCTAACAAATGTCTTGAGAGTAAAAAACATTGGGATTCAAATTGTTATTTATCAACATCAGCATCATTGTTCACACTTCATTCACACTTCACACTATCACATCAGCAACCTTTTTGCCCAAATTAGACCGGCCCAACATCCTCTTTTCAGCAACAGCTGTCAGCGTGGAACAGTCAGCATGATTTATATCGGGGCGCACTGGCCCGTAGAACCAACACCACTAAGGTAAAGTTCCTCTACATTCAATTAATTCGCCTAAAAATGGAAGAAATTGTAAATACTCAATAATAGCACTGAGTATGGTTTGCTGTACTTAAAGCTTGTAAATTTAAAGCACTTTTTGGAAATATCTTTAAAATAATAAAAATATTGAGGGATCGAAATTGTGATTGTTCGACATCAATAAAGTATCGTTCACATATCAAGTCGCGACTTGTTTCCAAATTGGACTGCATCCCGGCGGCCCCTCCCCTATCGACATTGTTACTTTAAGTTAGCAACAGTCGGTATTGAACAGCTCTGTAACCCTTCTTATAGGGTCGTTCACATATTACGTAATCACCTTATGAACAATTTGCAACCCCCTCCCCCTCCGTAATCAGTTTTACACATAGCTATTGTGATTTGTGTCAAAATTACACTAGTGTTATCATTTGAAAACCCTCCTCCCCCTCGGTTGATTACGTAATATGTGAACGACCCCTATTTGAACTTTTGAACGATCCCTTATCAGTGTCATCAAGAAGAATTCAAGAACGCAAGAAAATAAGGCTTCTAGTGCACTTGAAGTGATATCTTTAAGCAGCACATGCGAACTTGGTATCTATCGATCTTAAATAATGATCTGTGGTATAACTGACATTAAATATGGTGTCAAAATTCTCAAATATCTTTAATCTTCTCATACACCAGCATTTGAAACAATAAGCGAATTCGTTCCTCTTTTACTTTTTTCCTCAAAATCACATCAAAGCAGGGTCATTAAATAAACATGGATCCTTAGATCGCCTTCAATCTTTCAATGAAAGATCAGTTTTTGCATTCAATTATTCAGGTCTTGTTTTCTCAATAAAATTCGTCGACCTTCATGCAGAGAAGCAGCTCACTGTATTTCTTGGAATTGGGAACCCCGTAACCACTGTAGATATCAAGTATAAGCTCGGTCACAGAAACTCCGGTCACCTGCTTTCTTATCAGGAAGCTGTTCAAAACCTGCGAGATTTCAAAATATATACATCATCGAACAACGGGATATGCTGTCTTGAGTGTCTATAAAATAATTTAATTGAATAAAACTAATAATCTACAATTTGTAGGTCTACATAACGTTTTCGGTCTTGATCAATATCTCAATGTGTAAAACTATTGGTTCTAAAAGGTTTGAAACAGTCCCGCAATCTCATTACCTTGTGAATCTTCATGGCACGTTTCCAACTGTAGTTACCATGGATAGCAACCACGTAACATCGCTTCTCCCAGTTGTGCCCCACAAATATCCCAACAGAAAGGGGGGCGGGAGCGTTAACGGAGTACATATCAGGGATGAAGAACATCAGGTGGCAATACTGAGGATAAGACTTTTAGCTACAATTTGCTCAACTCCGTAAAAAGAAAATGCCATGAAAAAATCCAGCCATATCATAAACAAAATATCCTCGTAACATAGTACCCAAATTAATATTACACCTAACATTTACATTAATAATATATTAACTTATATTAATATATACTATTAATAGTCATGATAGGCATTTTAATTTACAGCGCGATTGCTTAAAGTGTTGAGGTACAATAAGAACTTACGACGACTTTTTCAGTATCGGGATCAATTTGCCCGATAATTCTGATAGGCACAGTCCTCTCCATAAGCAGACCCATAGTGTTCACTCCCTTGAAGTAACTGAAGAATTTGAGAGTGTAAGTTTATGACTTTATCATAAAGCTATAAGGGTGTTAACTCGACAGATTTGGAAGGTAAGTTTTGATGAAGAGTATGATACCTTGTCTTGAAGTTTGGAGATATTATCTGATAAACTAATTACTAGACAAGTATAGACTACAGCTCTATAGATAGGCGGGGAAAGTGTGGGTGAAACATAAAGCCCGTTTAAGATAAAGTCTCGTCACATTCCGAGTCCTCGATTGCTTCTGGAGACTGACATCTTGAATCACTTCAAGATCACGCACATATGTACTTGATGCTGGGAATAACTCATAATATATGTTTTACACATGACAGAGGAGGAATCCAGACACAAATTAGCACATTCTATGCATTTTAAGTAGAGTGTCACTGATCAGGTTACTAATGTATGGTCAGATTTAGGGGTATCTTATTGGAACCGCACAGCCAGCATTTCACCAAATTTGAAATTTGGTAAAAGCAGCATTTCCAAGATTATGATTAAACTAGAGTATAAACTGACAGACTGACTCACTTGTAGAGTTCCTCGTAGTATTCAACCATGGCTTTAGAGCCCTCCAAACAACTATTATCAACTGGCTCGTATCTGGCGGGATATACAGCTGTTACCTCAGTTTTGCCATGAAAGGGATTGGAGAACATATTTGCAGTTCGATGTTTTTCAGTCGATTAGTTGGACTGACTAGTTAATCGACTGATTCAGATTACCGATTAGTAATTAACACAAAAAAAAAGTTTTCAGTTTTCGCCAAATGCAATCGGTGTTATTGGTTTCATAATGCTGTTAACGAATGACTAACAAAGACTGATAATTAACCTGCTTGATGAGATCCAGTTCATTTCCGGATAGTCCCTCATTTTTACTGAGGAGGGAAGTCGCACATCGTCCACACCTGAATACCTGACAAATATTTGAAATTTTGTTTATTAGCTTGCCACGTTTATTACATAACTGAGAAAATTATAGTGGGCTAGATTCGATTTCGTTTGTTCGACTTTGTACTTTTGTAATGATTCGAACGGAGAACTCATTACATGTTTGGAGGGGGATTTGTTTTAAAACATATAAGAGATACGAAATTACATTTTACACCATCGCCAGGACAAGATTAAATTTGACCCAAAAATTAAATTTGACCCACTCAAATGAAGAAAAATTGATTGACCTGATACTATCCGATTCAATATTTGTAACCGAGTATGTGCTTCAATTTGTCTGAACGATGAGACAAATTGTACCACATACTCGGTTACAAATCATGAAACGGCGAGAGCAATTTAATTTTCTATTAATTCCACTCACGATCATTGATCAGGTGGATTTTTTGTGAGTTGTAGAGGAATCAGAAGATCAATGTAATATTGTGAGACTACTTTCACTACCTAAACTTTGAATACTTTGAAATAGTGACTGTTACAAAGTGCATATCTTGACAATACAAATTATAAACCACGTAAATATACCAGTACAGACTCACTACCACGATAAGAATACTTACTTGGGGCACTCTTTGCCGTTGCAGATGTTTGGTAGGGTTTGGAAGTCTTGAATCTCAATAAGGTCGATGTTAGGGTCAGCATTTAGGGCCTGACTAACCTTGTACTTTCCAGCCAGCGTGCATATTATCAGTAGCAGAAACATTCTGCAGAGGGGTCTGTTAGAAATATAGTAATCGAAGTGGTGGGAGATTTAAATTCATTGCTTAAGTAATTAGTAATGCGGAATTTTATAGATAAAAGAGCTAAAATCGTGTAGAATGAAAAAAACTTCTGCACACGATCAAGGTGTTATAATTATACATTTAGGTATAATTATCAATTTAGGTATAATTGATTACATTTATCAGTAAGAAATTGGGTCATTGCTTTTCAAAATCATTTCACTTTTCAGAGGCCTATTTCGGCCTTAAATTGGAAAATATATCAAAAATCAAAAATGTGATCGATGGCCAATACCATTATTTTGCCTTTAAACTACCATAACGTTATTGATCGAAATTTTCAGGACTAAGTGAGACTTTTTAATAACTCTTTGTGGCACTTGATCAACTAGTCAAGCCCCAATATTGTTAAGAACAAAAGATTTGCAACTATGAAATCCTCAAAGATAGTACAAATCAAATCATATTCAATGAAGATAAAGTTTTTTGAAAAGGAGACTCGGTCTAAATTAAATCATATTGAACAAAGAGAAGGTTTCTTCAAAAGGAGGCTGTGCCTAATGCAGTTTGAAGGAGCTAAAAACTGGAAGTAACACTAAAAACAATAGACGCACACCATCTGCCACGAGCACCCTGACTGCGTGAGCTCAGTATAAATACCCCCTCCATCTCTTCTACTTCACCACTATTCGACATATCATCTCAACATGAAGGTTCTAATTTTCCTGACCCTAGCTGGCCTCGCCGCTTCGATCGACTACGAGCACGTTCTTCAATCTCCTGGATAACTCAAAAACTTGTTCAATAAGTTCACAGTTAACTTTGGCAAGGCTTTCTTTCTCTCTGAAAGACCTATGAGACTGAGGCTGTTCAGGAACGATCTGAAGCAGATCGTCAGGCTCAACAAGGAACACGAGTGGGTCTCAGATAAACATCTCATTTTGAAAAGTAGCACTTACAATTTGTAACACCCTTGTAGCACTAACAACCTAACTTCTCCAGGAATCAACCAGTTCACAGCCATGACAGTTGCTGAGAAACAACAGCACCTCGGACTGAACATTTCCCTCTCTGCCCCGGTTCCTGAAGAAGAACTTGTCCTGTCTTCTGTCCCTGCTGCCTCCACCAAGGACTGGAGGAACGAAGGCAAAGTTGCAGCAGTTAAGCACCAGGGTAAATGTGGATCTTGCTGGGCTTTCTCTGCTGTCGCAGCTGTTGAGACCAACTATGCTATCCAGACCGGAAAAATGAAGCAGTTCGCTGAGCAAGAGTACCTCGACTGTACCTACAGCAACAGAAACGGATGCGAGGGAGGATTATACTTCGACGCTTGGGCCTACTCCATGAACACCGGACGTCTTGCAACTCTGGCTGCTGTACCCTACAAGGCTAAAGATGGAGCCTGCTCTTACAGTAGAGTTCACAACGGACTCGTGGCTGCCAAAATTGGTTTAAGCAGGTTTATCTCTGATGGAGAGAGCAATGTGATCAGTGCCCTGAACTCTGGTGCTGTGTCTGTGGCATACGAGGCCACTGATGATTTCTTCAAATACAAAGATAATATCATCCGTGATAACACTTGTAAAATGAGGGCAAACCATGCTGTCACCGCTGTAGGATACACTCGCGATGCTATGATCGTGAAGAACTCCTGGGGTGCTGCTTGGGGAAGGGGTGGATACTTCTACACCGGCAGAGGACATCACGGTTGTCAGATCTACAAACACGGAATGGTACCTACCTTGAAATCAACAGGAAAGACCGACACCGATGCTGACTACGTCTCTGTTGAAGAATAAAAGCAGCATTGGTTACCGACGCTGATGGCTGTGGAACAGTGAGGTCCAGCAACGGAACCTGCAAATACGCTCACACTTAAGAATATGCTAGAACTAGAAGATTGATGCCATGAATTTGTTTCATTATTCAATGTTACAATTTTTGTTTTAACTTGTTGGTATTCTCACAAAGGTTGGTCTACAATTATAGAGGGTCGCATATACTCATATAAACTAAAAAGGGTGTAAAAGGAGTCCAAAAAGGATCTAAAATTCTAATAATTAGTCTTGTATAATAAAGGAAGGTCACGAATTAACTATGTCTATACGCTTCTCCCGAAAAACGAGCACGATCGAGTTGAACTATTATCATTATCAGCTGTTCTACATTCCCACGTTGAGACGAAATATGCCCTGATGGGAATTTTGCGAATTCCGGCCACCTTGATCTGTAATTCGACCCCGGTAATCGGTACCAAAGTGCCAACTAGGACTTTTTAAAGAATTTAATTTGACCGAAAATAGCCGAACCTAATTAAAATTACTGGTTGTTATACCTATAACAAAATAAAGATCAGAATAGACGGATCATTGAATTTAGGATGTGCTGAGAATTGAGGAAGGATGATTTATTAATATTGTGTAGGTGCGGTCTCGAAAAACCGTTAGCCCAAGTGTTACAGACATCAACCTGCAGCACAATGGATTAAGAAGATTGCGATCAGGCAAATTAATTTCCAATTCGGTTGAAAATCTCATCTGTAATTTTAAACTTACTGTATACTACGCATCACGTTATCCATGGTTATCTGTCAAAAAATAACCGAAAAACTCAATCAATCAATCAGCACGCCGCAACTAATAGTGATAATGGTAACACACTCAAACTAATGCTCTACACAAAGAGATGAATCCTATGAACTGAGGGAGGGTGTCTGCACTAACACTTGTAAGATAACTGTGAATCTCTACAATCTTACAGTAGGAAGTACCCTGCATATCAATGGTTATGCACTAACTACAACAGAACAACGTGCAGACTCTTCAGATAACACTTAGGTCACCGCTACGATTGCTAAGATTAGAGTTCTGATAGACTGGTACTTAGCCTGGTACTGGTAGAGAAGGATTATTATAGGCACGTGTTAACATGGAGTATGTACGTGTTAAATATACAGTGCACGTGTTAACATGGAGTATGTACGTGTTAAATATACAGTGCGCATCAGCTCTTTAGAGTTTCTTATCTGGATCAGTGAAGTTTGTGGGCCGTGATCTCACTCTGAATAGGTACGGTACACACCCCACCCTTTAGACTCTAGCAAGTGTGTGTGTGTTATCCAGTTATCGCAATAAGGCTGGTCTGTAATAGACTGAGGATAATTGGTGGATAATATGTTTAACTGGACTAGGCTATCCACTCAAATAATCGTAACCGATAATTATCTCCGATAATTCGTTTATAAAAGTAATTATCTGTTTATCTAGATAAAATATATTTTTATCGGTATACAAATTCACTAGAAATTACCGAAAATACTGCCACAATACAATGAAATTTGAAGGAAATATGAGTGGTTTTGTTCAGTGTTCCCAGGTAATGTAAGAAACAGTTCTAAACGTCTTCTAGTATGATAGAAGAGGTAGTTTACTTGGATGTAAGCTTGAGAGGTTTATTTACATTTTTATACCTATAGAACTGTAGAACTGTAGGAACTGTAGAAATCCAGAAAAGGTTTGTCTTCAGGAGAAGGATTCTGTTGCTCCAAGTTATCCACAGGAGAAGGAAACTCTTCACTGAATCATTTATGCTCTGCTGGTCCCAGGAGAATGGAACCGGTGCTCTACTGTTTTGAAGAAAACTAGTACACTACTGTTCTCAGGAGAAGGCAACCGGTGCTCTACTGTTTTGAAGAAAACTAGTGCACTACTGTTCTCAAGAGAAGGCAACCGGTGCTCTACTGTTTTGAAGAAAACTACCTAGTGCACTACTGTTCTCAAGACTTTAAGAGAAGCTTGTTTTGAAGAGAACTAGTGCACTACTTTTCTCAGGAGAAGAGAACCGGTACTCTACTGTTTTGAAAAGAACTAGTGCGTTACTGTTCTCAGGAGAAGGAAACTAGCGCTATACTGTTTTCTGGAGAAAGTTCACCCCTGTTCTCAGGATAAGAAAACTGGTGCTCTAGTATTTTGAGGAGAATTGGTGCACAACTGTTCGCCGGAGAAGAAAACAGGTGCTCTAATATTTTCAGGAGAAAGGAAGTGGTACTTTACCAAGATTACTGATAAACAGTGATAAAAGTCGACAATTATTTTTTGTGAAATTTGGAAAACATTTTGGCTTTTTCCTTCAGCAGAAAAATTATCGGTTTTATCGGTTTTAACAGTAACGTAACATTTTACCAATATTTCCCCTCCCCTCTGCTCCCCCACCCCCACGGTCCACATAGCGGGCCGGGCTGTGGGGCTCTTTGTTACACTGTACCCTTCTACTCACCTAGAATGAGTTTTATCACTGGTGACTCGTGGTGTCGTGGTGCATGGACTAATCCCAACAAGGACATTTTAAGATTTTACAACCCATGTTTTTATTTTTTTACCATAACCAAGCATAATGATGTGTTCAAATGTTGAGCTAAAGATTAGTTTTAGCCGTCAAGAATAGCGAGCTTAGTCGTTGGGTTAACCTAGGATACTAAATATAACATGTAAAAACATTTGAGACACACTGGAGAGCTGCCTGCTGCAGACAACAGCGCATTAGTTAACTAACCTAGGATACTCAGTATAACGTGTAAAAGCATGGGAGACACACTGGAGAGCTGCCTGATGCAGACAACAACGCATTAGTTAAACACACGAAGCGCTTTGAACAGTGTCTTTATTCAAATACTTACCTCTTAACTGCTCATTTCTCTCAACTGCTCAATTCTACTTTCACGTTTATATTTGCTCGCCGTGGTTAGCAAGGAAATGTATTAGTACGCTAAATATGAGGTTTATCTTCTTCCTGGGTTTCCACCTAAGTTTGGTGGTAACTGAGAATTTAAGTACAGTAGAGCAGATCGAAATTATCGATTCCAAAGCAAAGAGTTGGTACAGAGACAAAAACCCTGACCAAAGCAAGGAATTTCAGCCTTCCAAAGCTTACGATGGTGATTATCAAACCTTTTACAGCGTTAAAGACAAAGACGTTGCCGGAAACTTCCTGAATCTCTATCTCTCCGGGGAAAGAACTATCTACGAAGTGAAGATAACAAATAGATTGGACACGTGCTGTAGTGACAGAATCAAGGGAACTGCCGTGTATGTCTTCTTCAACAGTGAAATCAACGTGGAACAGGAAGTTGGATTATGTGGAAAGATCGAGGACTCAACTAAAGGAGATAGCGATAACCAAAACCAAGAGGCTCAGACCTACACCATAGACTGTGGAGGGAAAGTAGGAAACATGGTTAAATTAACTGACGAGGATAGCTGGGGACACGGACTTTCTGAGGTGAAGGTTTTTGGACAGCTCCAAACGGTGGAATTCGAGGAAGTGTCACTCAGTTCGGTGTATGGAAATGAAATTGCCTCTCAAGCAATCGATGGAGACTGGAGTAAGGGTGCACACAGTGAGTGTACAGATGCTGGACCAGAGCCAAGTAATGATGTCTGGTGGAGAGGTTCATTTGAAGAACTGTCCTGTATTGACTCCGTCATAGTTGTTCCATACACATTCGGCGGTAAAAAAGTCTACGAATTAAGGATGGATGGAGCAGAAGTATATGTAATTGACAGCACATTGTACACAAAGTACTCGTGTGGATATATAACTACAGACGATTTTCTCTCAAAGGACTTGGACAAATATCACCGAATATCATGTCAATCCACTAGAGCTTGCGGAGATGTCCTGGAATTAAGAAAAAAAGACCTAACAGCAAATAACGACAAACAAGCATGCATACAGGCCAAGGAGATTATCGCCTACAAGAAGACCGTACGTGACTGTGATCCAGGTCAGTTTGTGGACAGAATATACTGTCTGCCCTGTCCTAAAAGTACTTACAGCGAAGGAGGAGGAGTTACATCCTGCACTAATTGTCCAAATGGTAGAACTGTGGGTGCGGGAGAAGGGACTGACGAAGGTGCCTGTCAGAGGAAACGATGTGATGTTTCATCCTGCACCAGAGATTGGGTCCACGATTCAGATAGACCGATATATTTTTATCTAGACGCGGGCGAAAAGTTAGTTTCCCCAATGGAAAATGTCGTGTTAAAGATGGAATATTCTGGAAATTTGGTGATGGAATGCAACGAGAAAGAGGCTTGGTCGAGCAAAACTGGTGGACTGAATGGCCACCTTTCTTTCTTTGCAAATGGAAACTTGGCCATTAAATTACCCGATGATGGTTCTCCAGCTGGACCAGCTTGGACCAGTGGCACTGGAGGCCATTCAGACGGGGTAAAGTTAGAAGCACTAGAAGATCGAGTGGTGCTGTACGACCTAAAAACATCGGAGAGCATATGGACAATACTTTGTGGGCTCCCAAGTTCATGTGAACAAAACCAGTGCACGCAAAATGGAGATAATGTCAAGATAGGAACTGATGAAAACCTAACGTCTTTAAATGGAGTCATTAAGTTAAAAGTAAAGGAAGATGGCAACCTCGTCGTACATTGTAAAAGAAAACAAATAAGATTAACAGAGGTTGAAAAGAAGGATGTGATTGATCCGTACTTATTGATCCAGACAGATGGAAACATGGTTGTGTATGATTCAAATGGAGATCCAATATGGGACGCAGAAACTAGTGGCGTTAACAGGGGAACCAAGCTGGAACTAAATAACAGAGGGAATTTGATCTTGAGTGAGCTGGATGGAGACAAAGTGATCTGGGAATCTGGAAAATTTTGCACGGGTAAGAATTTTAAGCACTTTCGGAATTTGTTATGTTAACAAACAGCAAACTCATGCTGCGTTTTTTTGGGCAAAGAAATGCAACATGAGTTTGTTACTGAATTTGTTTTGGTTTCAGATAGTTGTGGCTTTGAGTGATTCTTTTAAATTTTTTCTGTAACCACTTTTGAGTTTTGAACCCATACCGGGTTAATCAGCATTCCAGATTCCAGATTTCACAACGCTAATGGATTATAAGGTATCTATTTTTGAATGGTGGCAAAAATGCAAACAATAATATCAAATGCTAAATTTCTGTGTTAAACATGAGCTTGACATGAATAATGAAGATGACGAATGAGAGTGACACAAAGTAAGGAATGTGAAATTAATCATATCAGATTCTACAATTAATAGATACTGTTAGATTGAGCACTTTCAGGCGTGTGATAGATATTTGGTAATTATATCATTGCGGTACAACGTACATCTAATTGATAAACTTTATATCCTACAATTACAAATATGAAAACAATGAAGGGCGTAAATCTTGGTCAACGCTGGCCCCGGCCGTATACGTCAAATAACCTGAACCTTGCATGTCTATAGGTTATTTGTCAACACCTTGGCTGCAGAAATTTGTTACCAGGTTCATTTTTAAAGTGTGAAGTGTCATGCATGAGGCAAATAATCAATTTCATCGTTGTAGCAAATTGATTCATATATCGGCCGACTGGCCCACCCTTTGTCAACTGTCAAGTTCCACAGCCACCAACGGCTCGAAATTTTCCTCACGATTTTTAACAGTTTTTAAGAGTTCAAAGTGACCTGTAATTCAAACAATAATAGGAATCATGGGCAGTACAGGAACATTCCCCACCGAATGGCGATCGACGATATTTTAAAATCATTTCAACAAGCAACAACAAAAACTTCATTAGGCCATGGCACAAGGAGCCTTAAATATATATTTAAGGCTTATATAGTTTGTTCTTCCTAAAGTAACCACACGATGTTCACTGTCTGGAAGATTGAGTTTGTATCATTTAATTCTGGGCGGGGACTTTTAAGGTTTAATTTCATTGCTCTTAAGTCTTAAATAACATCTGAACATTTGATACACTTCACCTTTTCACCCCGCTATATTATAACCAAACCAGGCCTCAAGGGCACTTAACCACCTGGTTTAGGCTCGATATCCTCCCTTACCGGACGGATAATCACATACCCGGACCATAACAAGCAGTTAACACCCCTCAGCACAGACTATAAACACTATATACCGTCTGTCTGTACCACATGAGCAGCCAGCTTGACCACGAAACAAGGGCAGTGTAACAAACTGTAGAACCTCACACCGAGACGTGAAGTTAAATTATGAAGCAAGCCGGAAACAGCTGTGAAGTCACGTGCAGACATGACTGACAGGGAGATGTTGTGGTGTCTGAACTTCTCCTGAAGGGAGCTTGTGCCCGCCGCATCCAAGGCTCCGCTCCTACAAAGTTGGATCCGGCCACTGGCGGTGGAAATATTTGGTAGGTGTTTCCACTAAGTTTGTAATAGCATGCCGCATTTTGTATAATACTAATATAATGGTAATTGCACACCGCAATTTTGCTTGATAGTAATTTTTGTCGTGGTCGATCATCAAAACTTAAAATATTTCTTAATGGTGCTCGGGGCACCAGGTGCTCCATAATATAGACAATAGTTCAGCAACAAATTCTCCGATTGCCGCATATTTTCCAGAAATATGTATAACTATAAAGCGACATGATGCTTCATTCCGATCTTTCTGCTTGTAGTTTTGAAGTTGTGTTTGAAGTAGATCGACGTTTAATTTACTTCGTAGTAAATACTTAATATAAACAGGCAAAATGTCTCACATAAGGAACTATGAGCTTACAATACCCATTATTTTGTTTACTGGTTAGACTAAACCCAAATAATTCGGTATGTGTGAGGGGAAAAATCTATCCATTTCACATTTGACTTAAATCTTTAAATGGTTCAACGATTTGGCTTTTATTGTGGCTGCCAGTTTACTTGTTTGTCTGAAAAGAACATGAACGCAGGGGCTAGGCAAAATATATATAAGTTCTAATAATATGCCATTAAAGATAAACCGTATTTATCAAAGTATTTAGTATAGCTGGGATTATAGAATTAAATGTGCAGATTTTTCAGATACAACTCTTATTACATTGAACCTCTATTATATATAATACTAAGTATGATCCCATACTAAATATGATCCTATACTTCAATAGTTGTAGTAAAAAATCGAACAATTCATATTTCCACAATACGATTGCGGTTATTGCTGACTAGTGAAGTCAATCCCGACATCGGGATTCCCGAACTCCGGAATTTCCCGACGATTTTCGGTCGGGATTTCCCGACCTGGAAATTTGCTCAATTCCCAATTTTCGGGAATTTTCAATACTCGTGTTATGGGGGGATCAGATACTAATTTCTGTACGTGACGGCGACTAAGCGTAATTTTGGAATTTTTCAAAAGACCCACCCACCCCCTTCGCGGTACTAACTGTTTTTCCGGATAATAATTAAGACACCCACCCCTTTTGCCGGCTTTTGCGGTACTAATTGTTGAGAAATCACGGTACTAATTGTGTCTTGGTATATAAAATAAGATACCCACCCAGAAATTTCTTTAAACAGCTCATTAAACATGACTTTTTGTTTTAATAGGATCCGATATTGAATGTAAACAATAAAACTAACAGTTGAGATATCTATACTTAATTAAATACAGATTATACAATGCTTTGCTGGCTGAAAAATGCTGGGCCCTTTTAGTAGCAGGCTGCGCGTGCCTGAGCTGTAGTAAAAAGAGCATGCTGGTGGATATAAAGCTGTTTCAGTGTATCATACGACTCGCATGGACACAACCTTTTAAAAGGTCATTACATTAGTGGTGATGGTATGTACTGAAACATGTTTGTACTACATGACACATCATCCAAGAACCAGTAGTTTAAATAAGTTTAAAATAAATTAAACACTGTTCCTTCTTAAGTGGAAAAATCAACAAAGGCCACTTTTTAAGATTATGCAAAAGATCAATCACATTGTGTTTAATAAATAATACCTTAATTTACTAACTGTTTTTTGGGGCAATTAGACCTAAGACCTGCACTTATATTTAGTACAATTTACTAACTGTTTTTTGGGAAATGGGCAAATTGTACCCACTATTCAGTATGGTTTTTGTTTTCAATAAAGTCGAGTTAGATAAAAAGTTACAAAAAAAGGAAAAAATTTTTAAAAACCCAAAAAAACCTCAAAACCCAAATAACCCATTTAATTCCCATAATAATTCCCAAAATTGAAATTTGAGGTAAAATGAGTTTTTTTGGAGTTGGACACCCCCCTTTGTACTAACTGTTTTTCTGGGAAATGAGCAGCAGACCCACCACTTAGTACAAAAGTACTAACTGTGTTTTGGAAGAAAATATGACCCACCACCCCAATATCACGTACAGTATTCGGCACCTGATCCCACTGCGTGTTATAGTTGCAAATGTTAAAATATGCGAATGAATTGACTGCAATATACAGTTACACGATAGCGTTAATCAGATTTTAGAATGTCGCAGATAGATTGTAACTGTAAGCAACTGTATTGTAACTGTAAGCAGCTGTATTGTTACTGGGCGGCGCTCAGCAGCTGTCATTCCGCCGAATCTTTATGAACATTAAAGCCTGGGGTCCCCAGGTAGTCAAGGTCGAACAAAACAAAAAGAAGGCGCTAAATAATATGAGTTTTGGACGAAACGAAAGGTCCATCCAGCAGTCCTGAAGCCAGCCAAAAAGTACATCACGTATCTCTATTAAAATTGAGATGGGTTGTTTCGCCCAAACAGGGGTTAAGGGGAAGATGCTGGCATTTATGGACGCTGCTATAAAAACGATCAGGCCATCCTGATCGAGTAACTCAGTAAGCCTGGACGGACCTTTCCAACAGCTAGCAGGACGGAGCATAAAAGTCCGTAATAGAATTGGCCCAAAGTTGTTTGTGCAATAGTAGTCTTACTCTTAAGGTACTACTTGAGAAAAGAAGGCTAATGATGACACTTGTGGTATCTTCTTGAAAAATGATGAGGCAGCTTTAATTCTACTGTTGAACTTAAACAGCATACAAGTACATACAATTTAAAGTTGGGTCATGGCATGGACATGACCTTATTATACAAAATGGGACTTAAAGATAAGCGCCATTTGCTTTCGGTAATCCCGATTTAATTTCCCAATTTTCGGGAATCCCGGGATTGATCATTTTGATCGGGATTGACTTCACTATTGCTGACATAAGCTCATGAGAAGCTACAACATTAGTATTACTTCAAACGGAACAAAACGACGACAAATAGCACGCATTCACTCCTAACTTTTAACGTTTACAATCGAATGAAACGATCAGACTATCTACTTATCTACAAAGTTATAGCAATTCCCAATACAGTTATGTTAACACTAGGCCAGGGTGGACTAAAGACAGGTTTATTGGATTACAGAAGGGGAAGTGTTGGGGTAATATTGGGTTCAATTACAAGCTATACTTCCACTCCTTTACTCAGTACCACTTCAATTTCAAACAATCTTAACTAACAAGCTCGGTCATGATCTAAAATAAGCATTTACAATTTACAATAGTTGTTATCAATAAGATTATCTCAGAAGTAAAAATCTAAATTATAAATTTGATGTCAACTTCAAATAAATCCTATGCCTAGTAGTAGTCCGCTTCAAAGTCATTCAAGTAAATCGTATTTGGATCAAGTTAATGTGAATGTGATCGTTAATGTGAATGTGATCACAATTATTTTATTAGATCTTTCAGAATCGACTTATTTTTTCGTAGGTAAACAGAACATAGGTGAGACACTAATCATTGAAATTAAATTAATTAGAAAATACGGGCTTTAAATTTGCACTTTACCACGTACAAAGTTAAACAAATTATTCTGATTAAATTACAATAAAGTGCATGGGCGGCTTAACAAAACATTTTTGCCTGCAGACAAAAAGGAATGTAAAGATATTGAAAGATCATGAAGATTCCATTACTGATCCTGATAAACTTGTCCCTGTTTGTTTCCACCCTACACTTTGCCCTGCTCAATCCCAAGATAGACCTGATCGACCTGAAGGATCAGGCAAACGCTGCCAATAACAGATACTGCTACTCGGTACCTTGTCCCAGGTTACTACTCGTGATTATTAACTAACTCGGGATTAAAACTAAGCTCTTAGACAAACAAGGTAAACAATCTTTGACAAACAAGTGACAAGGGAAAATGGTTTTATTAACAAGATATAGAAATAAAGAAAAATATTTGACAAGCAAAATTAGGATTCAGGGAGAAATCTTTCGAAATATGCGGAAGATAGACTAAAGACATTTTTGAGTGGTTACCTGTTAAAATTGGCCCAGACATATTTTGCAAGCAAACGACTGAAGCGTGCAACTTTTTAACTGACCACGAAAGAAGTTTGACAGTTTGCAATCTTTCACCGTTTAATATGTCAAACTGCCAGTGAACTTAATTATTGTTGCTTGTTTGTGTTACTCCAGATCGCTGTGAAAATTTACATTGATTAAATTCTCATTAACAAAGTTATCATGTCTAGTTAACAAAAAAAGCTGTCATAATTTTATCCGTGAACTATAATTCCAACCGTACAAAATGTCAACGGTAAGGTATTTTACTACTAAACATCTACTTAACATCTATTTTAACTTGATTTAATTTAATGACCCATTCTTCTTAACCATGTTTTATTATCATATCATTATGTAATTATATTTTTCTATAAATTGGCCATCAGAGCCGCCGGCACCGTCTATATCAACAAAAACAATACTGTTGAAGAAATAAACCTCCAAATTTCATCTCAGGTACACCCTGAATCCGACAAAGATTCCGAAACCGTTTGAGATAAGAGATTACGAGAACAGCTACTGGTTATCCACACCGTGGTACCCGGAAGTGAACGGCTCTTGTCTGGCTAATCACCAGGCTATTCCTCCTTATTACAATCATCTACTAAAGTAAGTTAGGAAGCTTACTTTACTATAAGTATAATTATCTACTTAATTAAGTTAGGAAGCTTACTTTACTATAAGTATAATCATATACTTAATTAAGTTAGGAAGCTTACTTTACTATAAGTATAATCATATACTTAATTAAGTTAGGAAGCTTACTTTACTATAAGTATAATGATCTACTTAATTAAGTTAGGAAGCTTACTTTACTATAAGTATAATCATATACTTAATTAAGTTAGGAGGCTATTCCTCCTTATTACAATCACCTACTAAAGTAAGTTAGGAAGCTTACTTTACTATAAGTATAATGATCTACTTAATTAAGTTAGGAAGCTTACTTTACTATAAGTATAATCATATACTTAATTAAGTTAGGAGGCTATTCCTCCTTATTACAATCATCTACTAAAGTAAGTTAGGAAGCTATCTTATTTTATTATAATCATCTTCTTAAGTAACCTAAATAATAAGTGAATAAACAAGATATAGCAGACTTATCGTAAATATAAGTTAGGAGGCTTTCAGTTTCGTGCCTTACCAATTACCATAGTAATCTACCAAAGAAAGTTAGCAATAATATTTCTTATCAAAAGGAGAGCGTTGGCCTGGCAGGTGTGGTAAGGTGGTTAAAATTTCTTTAAAGTTTGACCGCTTTTAATTAATTTGATAGCTGGTAATTGACATGATAAACATTATATATATGATATCAGATATATGATATCAGATTAAAGAAATGTGTCTAAAGCTTTAAACTTTAATCAAAGAAGTTTTCAGTACAAATTATCGCATTACTTACTTGTTTGAAATAATATTTTTTATCCAATTAAGAAAATTCCCACAGCTATTTCGAGGGACTAAACTCGATGGGATTGAGATTCGAAAGGACTAGACCAGTACGGATAGTTAGCAGACCGGATCCTAAGGAGGATGGCATGGTAAGTGGCCATAATTACATAATATAATATCATGATTAATGATAATTAATTTTATATTAGTTAAGTTTTAAATTTAAGAAGCTCCAAAACAATCCTCCAAAATATTGACAAGGCCAAGCAGCAAGAAGTATTTGCATAATAAGTACGTCGACAAAATACAGATCAATTAATATTATAATATATAAATATCATTCCACGTCGACAAATTCTGGGCCGTAAGTTTGATATGGACTTTATTGGGCAAGCAGTCAAATAACTCTATTGACAAATAAAATAAAGATCCGGTAGGTTATAAATTAATGAAAACATGCTATCCTTCATTATTGGTCCAAATAGGTTGTTACTTTTGAAACATATTCTATGGGAGTGATTACTTCTGCAGAAAATAGCAGATTTTTTGAAACGAAGCCAGCTAAAGAAGTTTCATGCGTCTTTATGACGTTTTAAACAAGTTTAGATAAGTACGTGGCCGATCAAAATACGTCAACGTGGCTTGTCAGCTGAGGCTTTATTCAAATCATAAGAATTTGTCGAGCTGGTGGACAGGTTGGTGAGCAGAAATATTGCTCCTGAATTTGTGGGTACGTTGATTTTGACGCGAATGGTCCCAAGCAGAGATATAATCATATTACGGAATAAAAATTGTCATATATAGCTGCTGATAGGTGGGGATTGTTCTCAGATAAACTAATTAATTTGGTCAATAACCCCCATCTTATTTCGATATGTCGAGCCTTTTGATCATATGGTTCATTAAATAAAACCATCTGCTCTGTTATTGGTTGCAGCACAATGCACATAGACAGCTGAAATTCTTCACGCTTCACTGAAAACAATGGCTATTGCAGCCCCACCGGCTAGATGCTAAAGGAGGAGGTTTATCAACGCATTATATCCTGTGAACAGTATGATTTTCATACACACAGGTCACAGTACACACCAAATATTTGATCTATCAACCAAATTCTATGTTATACCCTGTGATGGTACTAATACTAGTAATATGTGGTACTCTCCAGAAGATGACCGCACATGAATAGTCATAATTTTTGTCAGCCTTTGTGAGCAAAATTGCTTAATGACGAGAGATAATGACGGAAAACATACCATTTTTGGATGGAAAGTGGCAAAACAATTCCACTATATTTTTAATAATAAATGGTATAATATCATAATGATAACCCCCACTAAGAACAATTAATTTATTTACCCTCAGCTATGTGCTATTCGGTTCTATATCCCGGATATGTATCCGATGCACCCTCCTGCCTCTATCGTGATAGATGTTATCCTGGGGTGGGACAAGGACAGGCTGTGCTACGTAGTGGGAAAGAGGGGACCCATAACCTGGACTAGTGCCAAGAAAGTGTTCAAGGTCAGAATTAAGTGTACTATTAAGCAAACTTTTAAACAGTGGCCGCAATGATGTGATTTTAGAATCCATATAACTTGGATGAAATTCTTTTGTAATAAATGCAAACCGTTTTCAAACCTTCATTTCGACATTTCCCAACAATTATATAATTATAACAAATTAAACCTCTCCCCCAGTCTATGAAGGCGTACCTGAGGAGGCTGAGTAGGTCGTTCCCGGAGGATGCGGAGATAATAGTGGACGCGTTCACCGGGTACGGGGTGTCAGAGGACAGGAGGTATATGGAGGTACTGGTGTGCCAGGAGGGACAGTTCTGAGGGGGGAGGTGATGCACGTACCAGAAAGAGAAACTTGTCGTAGTGCAGAGAAACTTGTTGTAGAGGAGAGTCAAAATTAATCAATCCTGCTCCATGAATATAACACTATCTGAAGTTTTGATCTGGCGTTAATAATCTGGTTGATAAAAATTAAATTTTGCTCGTTAAGATTTTACTCGGTTAGATGAATTTCACTTATTATATTCGTAGATCGATCACTAAGTTGTACAAGCTAGTGGTGCTTTGTATAGTTCTTATTTTACTTATGATTTAATGAAATATTACGAATTAAATTATTGTATATTGTAATTTACATATTAATAATTTCAATCAATTATTCGATAATCATAACCTACATAGCACATATTATTGAGACATTGGTTTCAACTTCTTATTAGGAAAATCGCCACGTTTTCTTAGTGCCAGAAACTTAGGTTTACAGGTCCAATAAGGCCTGTCCATGTCGCAGCCGAGTTTTTTACCGAATCATCATTTAAACATGTTAAAACTTTGGCGGTCTCCAGGGAAGAAATAAAACAAGTGGATAGCTGAGACAAACATTCAAATTAAATCGACAGTCAGGAGTAAAACAACATTTTTTATATATTTAATTTAAATCTTAGAAAACACTGGTTATACCCTCATATATTTGCTTCCGGAAGCACAATAATTCATTACATTCATGCAGTTAAAATATTCTTTTAAGAAAATGGCAAAATATTACAAAAAAAACAACAAATAAACAAATATAGTCGCCCGCGATTAGATTTGGTTGATCATTTAAAATCTATATTTTAATGGATACCATTATCCCACCCAAAATATTGAAGGGTTCGTGAATATACATCTATGATACCTCGTTCAGTATATTACAGCTAAATTTTTTTACAGAATAAGAGAGAACAGCTCCAAGCATGAAAAATCAAAACAAAGTTTCTAAATTGATTTATAAAATCCGTGGCCAGCTGAGTTCAATACTAACAGTAACAGTAACACGATAAAAGCATCATATGTTTATTGGGGATCGTTCACATATGATGTGAGTCAGCCTAGGAGGGAGGTTGAAACCTTATGACAGAGAAATTTCTAAACAATTTAAAATGTTCAATAAAATCGTCATGGCCTACGTTTTATTTAAACGATCCCTCGACAAATTGAGCATCAACATAAGCTACATTCACAGCATCTCGCTTGAGTCATCTCCCCCATCCCTTAATATCTAGAACAATCGTACTGCAAGATGAAACAAAATAATAATGTTTTGTCCAACCTCAGTTTTATTTTACACTTCGGAAAATACTTAACACAAAATCATGCCCCCATAAAATCTCTCAAAACAACAAAATCTCTCCAAGTCCAAAATCTTTCTAAATAACAGGACTGTTTCTCATAGAACTGGATCTGGACCTGGAACTCCCCCCTGATGTAGCCACGTCCAGTAGCTCGTTCTCTCCTGGGACCTGGTCCAGCAGCTGCGTCACATCAAGGGTGTCCGGGACGGTATTTTCTGTGTTTATCACCATATCACGTGACATGTTACGAGACATTCCTGGCATCACCACGTTCTCCATAGCTGGTAATACGAACGTGTCCTGATGGGAAAGAGTCATTAAAAACACATCAGTTTTTTAATAGTTTTTGATTTGGTTGCCAAACTTGTTAAAGAATTTCAAGTTCAACCTCTCCAGTATCCATCACATGATGAAATGAACGAACGAATAGTGATAATTAACTAACGTTAAAAACAGACTGCAACTGTTTTTCCAGCGCGTTTGTAATGGGTCTGTAGTCCAGCGATATCCATCTTCCCAGGATTGGTGTAAGGTGTATTTTCAGCTCAGGTGGTTCTGTAAACCCGTACCTGATATTATAAACTGAATCAGGTTATGTTAATTGTGGCGTACCGCTAGATAAATTATCAATCCCAGCCGGCATTAGTCGCTTTGTTCATTAAAAGAATGACTCAAATCGAATTGAACGTCACTGTTGAACTCATTTGACGTGTTCAAATGAGCCAATGGGGGGGGTCCAACCCGATCATTTCCGATCATTCCGATCCCGATTTTGGCCTCATCAACCCTCATATCGGAAAAATCGGGAAAATTTAAATCTTTCCTCTGAGGTTTCTAGGCGATATAGGTAGCTATTTCTGTACTTAAATATGACAAGAAATCGATTGGTGGTGGTCCCAGAACCCCAAAATGGTTTCTAGTTCCAAACAAGAATCGTTTCGTCCGAAAAAAAACACACTGTCGTATCAACTCTTGTTTGACAGAAACATCCACCCCGGTCCACAATTGAAAGAGGTACGGTTGGTAATAACAATCGTAACAAATAGAGAACGCTTTAGTAACTTTTGATTTAAATTGTCTCCACAATTTGTAACAGGCTATCTGCAGAAATGGGTAGCACGGTTAATGACCATTGACCGTGCTACCCATTTCAAGAGGAGGACTGAGGACGGGGAGGAGGAGGACTAAGAGAACGCGAGGGCTAAGGACGACGAGGACTGAGGACGAGTACGAGAGCGAGGACGAGGACTGAGGAGGAGGACTGATAAGAAGGAGGAGGAGGACTGAGGATGACGAGGAGGAGAAGGAGGACTGGGGGAGGACTGAGGAGGAGGAAGAGGACTGAGGAGGAGGACTGTGGACTGAGGAGAAGGAGGACTGAGGAGGACAGAGGAGGACCAAGTCGAGGACTAGGAGGATGAGGACGAGGACTAAGGACAAGGACTGGGAGGATGAGGACGAGGATTAAGGACGATGAGGATGAGGACGATGACTAAGGACGAGGAGGAGGACGACTGAGGAGGAGGACTGATTAGGAGGAGAAGGAAGAGGAGAAGGAGGAGGAGGGTGAGGAGGAGAACTGAGGAGGAGGAGAAGGAGGAAGACTGAGGAGAAAGAGGAGGACTGGGGAGGACTGAGGAGGAGGAGAAGGACCGAGGAGGGCTGAGGAGGAGGAGGACTGAGGAGGAGGAGGACTGAAGAGGAGAGGGAGGACTGAGGAAGAGGAGCAGCTCATTGGTGAGGCGGAGGACTAAGGACGAGGAGGACTGAAGAGGAGGACGAGAGCGAGGACGAGGAGGAAGACTGAGGAGGAGGACTGATAAGAAGGAGAAGGACGAGGACTGAGGAGGAGGACTGATGATGAAGAGGAGAAGGAGGACTGGGGGAGGACTGAGGGAGGACTGAGGAAGAGGAGGACTTAGGGAGGACTGAGGAGGAGGAGGACTGAGGGAGGACTGAGGAGGATGATGAGGAGGAGGACTGAGGATGAGAAGGAGAAGAAGGAGGAGAAGGAGGAGGAGGACTGAGGAGGAGGAGGAGGACTTAGGAGTAGGAGGAGAACAAGGAGAAGGAGAAGGAGGACTGAGGAGGAGGAGGGGAGGACTGAGGAAGAGGAGGACTTGGGGAGGACTGAGGAGGAGGATGACTGGGGGAGGACTGAGTAGGACGATGAGGAGGAGGACTGAGGATGATGAGGAGAAGGAGGACCAGGGGAGGACTGATGAGGAGGAGGACTGGGGAAGGACTGAGGAGGAGGACTTAGGAGTAGGAGGAGAAGGAGGAAAAGGAGGAGAAATAGGAGGAGGAGAAGGAGGAGGAGGACTGAGGAGGAGGACTTATGAGTAGGAGGAGAATGAGGAGAAGGAGAAGGAGGACTGAAGAGGAGGAGGAGGAGGCCTGACGAGGAGGAGAAGGACTGACGAGGAGGACTGAGGAGGATGAGGAGGATGAGGAGGATGAGGATGAGGATGAGGAGGAGGAGGAGGAGGAGGATGAGGAGGAGGACTGAGGAGTAGGACTGAGGAGGAGGAAGAGGACTAAAGAGGAGGATCAGGAGGAGGCTGAGGAGGAAGAGGACTGAGGAGGAGGAGAAGGAGGAGCAGGACTGAGGAGAAGACTGAGGAGGATGAGGACGAGGACTAAGGACGAGGACTAGGAGGATGATAACGAGGGCTAAAGAAGAGGACTGATTAGGAGGAGAAGGAAGAGGAAAAGGAGGAGGAGAAGGAGGAGGATAAGGAGGAGGAGGAGGAGGAGGATAAGGAGAAGATTGAGGAGGAGGAGGATGACTCAGGAGGAGGACTCAGAAGGTGGAGGAGGACTCAGGAGGACTCAGGAGGAGGACTGAAGAGGAGGAGGAGGACTGATGAGGAGGAGGAGGACTCAGGAGGAGGAAGAGGACGAGGACGAGGACTAAGGACGAGGACGACTAGTGTAGGACTGAGGATGAGGACTGATGAGGAGAAGGAGGAGGAGGACTGAGGAGGACGATGAGGAGGAGGAGACTGAGGAGGAGGAGGAGGACTGTTGAGGAGGAGGAGGAGGATGATGAGGAGGAGGACTGAGGAGGAAGACTGAGGAGGACGAGGACGAGGACTAAGGACGAGGAGGAGGAGGACTGATTAGGAGAAGAAGAAAGCGGAGAAGGAGGAGGAGGATGAGGCTAGGAGGAGAAGGAGGAGAATGAGGAGGAGGACTGGGGGAGGACTGAGGAGGAGAATAAGGAGGACTAAAGATGAGGATGAGGACGAGGACGATTATGAGGAGGACAGAGGATGAGGACTGATGAGGAGGAGAAGGAGGAGGATGAGGAGGAGGAGGACTGGGGAGGACTGAGGAGGAAGAGGAGGATGACTGAGGAGGAGGATGAGGAGGAGGACTCAGAAGGAGGACTCAGGAGGTGGAGGAGGATGAGGAGGAGGACTCAGGAGGAGGAGGACGACTATGAGGAGGACTGATGGGGAGGAGAAGGAGGAGGAGGATGAGTAGGAGAAATGAGGAGGAGGAGGAGGAGAAGGAGAAGGAGGAGGACTGGGAGTAGGACTGAGGAGGAGGAGGGGACTGAGGAGCAGGGTGAGGAGGACTGAGGAGAAGGACGAGGACGAGGAGTCAGGAAGAGGACTGAAGAGAACTGAGGAGGAGAAGGACTCAGGAGGAGAAGGAAGACTTAGGAGGAGGAGGAGGACTGATGAGAAGGAGGAGGAAGACCAGGGAGGAGGAGGAGGACATGTAAATGTTTTGTCTGTTTTTGTCTGTTTTTGTCCGTTTTTGTTCGCCCTACTTTTTGTCCGTTTTGAAAATATAGGGTACCGAACGGACACAAAACATGATCCCCCAGCCAAGCATGTGTTACGATACAAATGTACTTGACTATACATTTAAGGTGCAGTGTACTAGTGATATTATGGTATGTTTAAAGACCGGACCACAAAATATAACCCGGTACCTAGTGTTGTACTAATACATAATAACAAGTAACAGGGATAAAATTAATGAGCAGAAACAATCGATCTCACGTCAAAAGGCCAAAGCACTCGGGTCTGGGAGTACATGACAACTCCAACTAGTAGTGAGTATACTAGCGCCCCTGCAGTGGAAAAACACATAAAACATACTATTGGAATGTCCAATTGGTTCGTTTTCTCATAACAATATAGCATATGGAGGGGTTCTGGTTGAATTATATCACTTCTGAGAGGTTTTAGAGATCGATTCTGTTAATTTCTCAATTTTCCGATTTTTCCGATTTTTCCGATTCCGATTTTGGCCTCATCAACCCTCATATCGGACATCGGGTTGGACCCCCCCCAGCCAATGGAATCATCAATTAGTAACGTGTAAATGTACGTGACTTATCTTGCCGAGTATTAGTGTCAACAACTCTCTCAAAAGATGATTCAACACCGCCTATTATACTACTAAACATTCCTTTATTACCCACCACTCCCTATTGTCGCAGTCTAACTCTAACAAAGCACTCAGCTTTAATAAGTTATTATATTTGCACGATACAGCAGAAAAGTAACCCAACCCCTAGGACCCATTCCTTATTAACTCCTATTATCAGATTATTGCTTAAGTTTACCCCATTCAGTGCTCCATTAGAACCCATTGTTACGCTGTACCATCAGACCACCACATACCCCTATATTCTAATGGGTTTTAAAAGCTTTTAGAATTAAAAATTTGCTCCACAGCTTACCAGATACAATCAGTGGGAGGGGGAGGAATATTAACACAGAGCCTCCCAGAAACTCGGGTAACCTTAGCAGAAACCCCTATCTCTATCTTCTCTATAAGTCTGTACAGTTTAGCAAGTTTCCCTGAGCTGCTGGGAGCCTGCTCCGTTCCTCGTTCACTCTCCAGCTTCATCGGCTGAAAGTGTGCTGTGTCAGGTAGATCACGTGACTTTAATATCTACCAACTTGGTTGCAGCGTTAGTGTTATAGCCAGCAGTTGATTTAATGATCAGAGGATGCATAGAGCACTGAGTAGAGTACTACCCCGTGCTCTAATTCCACGTTACGACGAAGACAACATAATTGTCGTCATACGGCTTGAAATTCTCGAAGCTTTGAATGAGCGGTAGGGTCGCATAAGTTAGAAATTTCCTATTTTTGTGCGATAATTTTTAAAGTTGAACGGAGGACAAAATGATAGTTTCAACTGAATAAGATTAAAGCTAAAGGTAAAAAGCTTTTTTGAGCTTTTATGCTGTCACGCAGTGGACTGGAACACTAGTCTTGGAGTAAGAGCTGATGTTAAATTCAGATCAATTCAGATCAGCCGGACATTACTTCTTCATTTGAAGTAAACTGTGCTCCTCATGCGGGGACCGAAAATTTAATAAGACAGAAATTGAACCCTCAAGTTTCAAAACAGTTTCAATGAATCACATCAAGTAGATCACATTTTTGCTTAGAAACAAGATATTAGACACCAGATAGTAGAACCCTTAACAGCAACTAGCTGAGCTGAATTAGATAGAGTTGTAGGTGGGATTGAATGAACGCAGCTACTTCTTTTTAACATACCCCTGAAAGTTTGACGATATTCCCGTCCTGCCACTTGACCTAACAACGTGTAACAGTGAGATGATTGTGAGATGTTAGGAGATGCTTTTTAGCAGAAACATAGTTTTAAAAACATAGGAAAGGTGCCACACGAATAGCTGACATACAATCTACGTTTTGTATACTGAACACGTAAGCCATTAGCCACACACGGTATTTAGTGTTAATGTCGGGTAGATTCATTAACCATATTTCAAAAACGTCGGTGGTCAAAAATATAAATTCCACCTTAGTGCAGACGACAAACGAAAAACCAATAATTTCAGAAGTTTTTGTGCTACACAGCACATGCTGTTAGAAAAATCTGTACCTCGAAAGTTTTAGAGTTGTCCCCTTGAGCGGATGATTTGGAGTTTATACGAGCAGCCAAAGTTAAGGAAACTTCACCCGACCACTCCAGATCCATCTCTGACCAAACACCCTGAATGTATAATCAGTTGTATAATCACTTGACAAGAAATTGGGACCAAAATAGAAAAATATTTCCCACTTATTCCTAACTTACGGCTTGTAATGTAAGGACAAATTCTCTCGGATAAAATTAGGTACAGTTCTATCTACAAGGTTCAAGTTAACGTTAACGTAATTTTCAATAATCTGTTCATTTTATACCTGGTGATCTATCTTGGGTAGGTACGTGTTGGTTATCAAAGGAACACTGTTTCCCAATTCGAAACTTTTGAGCTCTACTGAACTGATGTGTCGGGTGTTAACTGAGGACAACTTTCTGAAAATGATGTAATATTAAAATATTGTATTCAAATCATTTCCTTGACTGCCGGGACGTGACACAGACAATTAAACATAGACTTATCTCGTGACTGCCAAATAACCGCCACAATTGATCAGATCCAAATATAAACACACTGCATGTACTAAAAACTACATTTGCGCGCTTTGTTTGGTCGTGCGTCCCCTTTCACTATACATAAATTGCACCGCGCGCAACATACAAACACAACTTTATTATGTAAAATTTAAGCATGAGCTACGCCATGTTAACCACGGAAATGAACTAAACAAAGCGGAAATAAGACGATCCACAAACTTACTTAACGATTCTCTCTCGGATACGGTTCTCCCACTTCCTATCATGTAAAATGTTCCAGACAAACCGTCCAAACAGGGCATTTATCCAGGCAGACTGTTGCATATCGTGAGCTTTAGTGTCCGGACTAGGAGTTTCTGTTTCACCTGAAATTTAACCCGTGTACATTTACACAGCATGAGCACAAATCATTGGCCTCTACTTTCTATGCTATTATATCGAATATTACACTTAAATATGGACTAACCAGTTGTGGTAGTTTGGAGGTTACCCTCATCCTCCACGGGATTACATTTGTCTTTGTCTCCCACACTAGGGATCTCATTGAACAATCTCTCCATAAAGTCTTGGAAGTTTTCTGACTCTTCTTTACATAAATCGTCCTGCAGATTTGGAAACCAATTAGTAAAACAATCAGCAAAGAAATTTGAGTACGAAATTGTTATACTTTATCATAGATTAAAATTAGAGATAAATGTTGAGTAACCAATTATAACTTATAATATAATAAAATTCTCAGAAGTATAAAACACCAGCTCTGAGTCCAGTAAACTTACCATTTCAGTAGTGTCAACAGCCCTCCTCAAAGCTTCATACCAATGTTCTTTGTACCTGCGAATACATTGTTATAGAGTTATACCTTACAAGACATTTTTGTGGCGGACCAATGTGCGACGACCGAAATTTTGGCGGTCCGAAAATATGGCGAAATTGAACAAAAACCGTCACATTCCGGACGTCACAGAAAATAAGGGTATTTTTCATCATTTTGTTTTCTGACACAAAGGAAATTCAAAATTTTCTAAAAATCGGTAAAATCATGTTGAAACAAAATGAAACTTATAAATCGATTTCTTCATCTTCCTCTAAGGGGTCCGGCTCGAATCTTTCAGTTTCACTTATTGAGTTTGATATTAAATTGTTTATCTTGACTTAGTCTATAAGACGTTTATGTTAGCACATAAATGTAATTTATTGTAAATTTAAAACGTATAACTTGACATTAAATTCATCATGGAATATTGTGTTTATTTGTCCCACCATGCATCATATCACTAACTTTTCAAGAACAAAATGAATCGATGAAGCCACAATTATCGGAATAAGCTAAAAATAATGCGACGGATTCTATTACGACGACCGAAATTTTGGCGGTCCGAAAATATGGCGAAATTTCGGGAAAACCGTCGCATTTCGTACGTTATAAAAATGTCTTGTAAGGTAGGCTATTCTTTGGAAAATTCTGCAAGTACAGCTGTGTAACTAGGAACGTTTTCCAGTGAAATAGCTGCAATACTATAAGGAAGTGGAACTAGAAAATACTTGAACTGTAACTGCAACTCTTACCATGCTTGAACAAGTTAAAGAGGAACATGATTCTGAGGAAATGGATCAACACGATGATCCTTTGTCTTGACTAAACACCACATATTTTAACTATTTCTCAGCAATAATGATAAAGCTTTAGCTCACAAAAACACTAACCTGGAGTAGGGAGATATCAAATAGAAGCTGTTAACAGTGTACTCGCTATCGTACGCGTCAGTTTCAGTACGCCAACTTTTCTTCCGTACCCATACAGGATATCTCTTCCTCCACATGTTATTCGGGGTTATAGTGGTTCCTGGCCTGGTGGGGTGGGCTTTTGTAAATATCAAACTCAAAAGTGAGTCGAAATGAGCGGTTTTCATTATTCACAAGTGTTATGGGACTTAGCAGTTACAGTTATATTACAGATTAAGAAACTGGCAGGTTTTGCGAAAAATTAATTTAATGATTTTAAAAAATTACAATACTGTAAATCTGTTATACTCACGGTGCCTCGATAGAGACGAGCCATCCGGAGATGTCACATTTAAAGATAGGCTTCAAACCGAATGTCTTGATCTCAGCGGGTGATAACTTCAGAGGGTCAGGCACTTCCTCTCTGCACAAATATATTCACATATTTAGAGGCGTCAACTGTGAAGTTGCCTAATTCTCAGCTTAGAAATGCGTCGTGTATTTACGAGTTTGATCGATTACAATGGCTGTTTTATTTTCAATCGCTGTTATTTGTCAAAACATTTGCGTTACCTCCCCTCTATTTATTTATTCAGAGGGTGACAAATAATACAAATTCTGTCATTTGGTATTTTTAGCTTACATAGTATGGCACGGCATAAAACCGCACTGTAAATAATCAGGTGATTCTAAGTCTATTTTAAAATATTATTCAATAAAGTTACATACTTTAAGGTAAATTAAAATTTAATCAACATACTTGGTTGCGTTCAGCTCTGAAGCTTCTATAATGGAGCCATTTAGCTTGAAGTAGCGATAGGGCATACTTTTAGTTCTCAACTCTCCGAAATTATGAGCTTCTGTGTATTGGAAGAAATCCTGAAAGTAATAAATAAACTCTAAATATTATCAACTGTAGAAACATTCATAAAAGTTTGTGACAGATCACGTAATTAAGCCAAATAAGGTTGTTATTATTTCCATTTCATTCAAAATTTAGGGATTACAATTTAGAATATCAACACTCGAAGGTTCTTAAATTTACCTTGAGAGAAGCTTTAGTTCCCAGCTTTCTAAGCCTATCAACTTGTTGTGCAGTTTTAGCACCAGATATCTCATCATCTTCTGGTGGAGTTCTAGTGATAACAAGGAACAATATCGCTAGTGAACAAGGGATGAAACCACCAAGAATGAATCCCTGTAGGAATGAGTTAACATAGTAGATTGTGATGTAGAGAAGTATACTGAGTAGACCCACTAAGGAGGAGTATATTATATGTTTCTGATAGGATGATTTTAACCGATTTCTTAATCTCAGAAGACTGGAGAGGGAGGTTATCTCAGCATGTGGGGTTAAAGTTGGAGGAGAGGGTTGGGGGGACGCTGGTGACACTGGAGACTGGGTCACAGTTTCATTATTGGGAGTAACATTTGCGGTGAGGAGTTGAGTTTCATCCTCGACAAACTCAGTCGCTGAATGTTCTGCGTCAGAATCTAGATTACCGATTTTGGGGATAAGGTCCGCTTCCTCCGCTGTTAACTCGCAGAAACTGCCTTCTGAGTTCCCCGAAGAATTCCTTTCCCGGTCCGCTTTTTCTTCTTCCTCTTCTTTTATCTGCTTGTTTTTGTTGTAGTAATAGTCGTAGTACTGATTGTACTTGGTGTAAGCTTTGGCAGCGAGTTGGCTCTTCATGGCTTTGAACTTTTGTTTACGTGAACTGGACGAAGGAGTGTCACTACTTGTTATGCTGATGGTATCTGCTCTCGAACCATCATCCTGACTGGTAGTCTCACCTTTAGTCTCACCTTTAGTCTCACCTTTAGTCTCACCTTTAGTCTCACCTTTAGTCTCACCTTTAGTCTCACCTTTAGTCTCACCTTTAGTCTCACCTTTAGTCTCAACTTTAGTCTCAACTTTAGTCTCACCTTTATTATTTGAAGTGGTTGAAGTATTATCTGCTTCCTCTGGTTTTGGTGATCTCGATCTCTTCCTGAAGTTCTTGGATAACTTTGCAGTGAGACCTGTTTTGGACGACTCGGGACTAGTTTTTGTCTCTTGATTATTTGCGAATGGATCGCCAAAATCAAAGTCTGGATCAGGATCTATAATTTGCATAAGAGGGTGAGGTTCTGTAACTTGTACTTTAGGTTTTGGTGGACGGGGTGGTGGTGTTGGTCGGGTATTCTTCTTTCTAACATCCTGAAACAAATCAAGGGAATCTTCCATATCAGCTTCAGCCTGGTTACTCTCTATCTGACCCAATGATAGATCCGAAGAGATTGGCGAGAGTTCGGAATTGGCCTCTAAAAATTCTGAGTTACAAATTTCAAGGTCCTTTGGAAATTCCCGAACTGTATCACTCGTATCATCATTTGATATATCGGGGGTTGCTTGAGAAGGGGCCGGCTCTACAACTGCATCAAGATTCAGGGACCTCTCGAGACTCTCTCTAGACGGAGCATCAACATCGTCATCAGGTAACATTTTATGAACACTAGGGGTATCAGTATCAAGAGGTAAGGAGCTTACATCAACATCACTCTCCCCCATATCAGACCCTCTAGTCCCTCCCTGGGGAGGATGGTGGTAGGGTTGTTCCTCCTGGAGAGGTTGGTGGTAGAGATGTTCCTCCTCATTGGACCCACCACTTCTGAAACTACCCAAACTACTCGTCCTGCTGACAAAGGACTGGAGCTCCTTCAGAGGGTTGTCGTCCCCCAGAGATGAGCTGAGAGGCGGGGTTTGCTGTTGCTGCAACTCCTCGTCCCCATAGTAAGTGGGGAGAGACCTGGGCGAGTCTAGCTCCTTGAAGTCAGTCCATTTCCGGGATTGTAGGTCAGTGTTGGAGCTGCTCACTGAGCTTTTCTTCGTCATCAGATCACATACTAAGCTACAATGGATAAATAAATATTAATTGTAATGGGATTGTAATATTATGCTAATTAGAATGTTAATTCTAATATTTAATTGTGAACAGGATTCTGGTTTTTTGTTGTTGATATACCTTAAATTTGAAATAAACTTACCATTATTCAATTTTAAGTCGAAACTGTTAACTGATAATAAATTTAGAATTTGAAAATAATACATACAATAACAATAACTGGGCGATATTTTAAGATAGAGCTAGTTCAGTAGTTCAGCTCGTGAATAATAATATTTATTAAAATTAATTATTATAGCGCAAACAAAAAAATAACAAATTAAAAGTGAAACCGTACGTAAAATATAATATGTCACGATAATTTTAAACCAATTAACTATTCCACGACACAATGGTAACAGGGTTTGACTAAAATAATTGTAACAAGGAGTGCCAAAAGTCGTTGTAGAAAATCCTGAGCTCACAACAGAACTAACTGTGTTTACAGTGACAAGTTACGACTAACACTAAACTTTAAACCCGACCGTCTTTACAGGCACAAATAAAACAAAAATATCGTAAGAAAATATGAAATTTATTATTATTAAATCTGTTCGTCAAGCAAAAACGCAAGACAAAACGCAAGACTAAAGTACGCATTCAGGAGCTCTTGTTACAACCAAAAGACAAGTTACAAGTTACAATACGGTGCAAGATAACAAGACGGTGCTGAGCGCCGGACCAGCCGAGTAATACCAAGTGTAAAGCTGCGTGTAGCAGGCTCTAATTACCTGTGTTAACTACACTAAAGTGGTATGGAAGCTAATTTAACCAAATATTATAACATCCTGATAACAGAGTAACAGTAACTACCCTAACGTAATAGGTAGGGCGTTCACAATTCCATGAGATATTGCTCGATAAACGATGTGTGTTACCTGATATAACGTGGACTTTAAGAAAAAATGAGTGACAAAATGTTAAAACTAGGTCCTGGAGCATCGTCATTTTTTACGAGTTAAAATTTTAAAAGTCGACTAAAGGGAGAAAACATTACAAACGCAATATCAAGAGTCTGATTTCAAGGCCGGTCATGCAATACGTTTAGGTTATCTTTAGGACATACGATAAAGCGATAAGGGACCGTTGATAAATTATTACGAAAGGCGAAATAAAATCTGCGGTTGAGTAAAAATGTATGGGCGTGGTGCAGCTCCTTATAAATAATAATTTGAAACAATTAAAACTGGCTGGAAGATCAATACAAGATGACGAGATCTGTAGAACAACAAGTTGTCACTCTCTCACAACAAGTTTGTGTTTATCCAGTTCCACGCTCAGTGCATGCCCATCCTTGATATAGTAAACCAGAGTAGCGTTCTTATAATACTCACTACTCAGTGCAATGTTCTGCAGCACATCATTAACAGCTACAGACTTGCCAATAACAGGGGCTCCTGCCTGGTATCTCATGTGCGCGAAATGAATGTGGAGGTGATAGTAGGCGGGCTGGTAGTGGAAATATACCCGCACTAAAGAGCGGGGGATCCCAAACTTCTCCTTTATTGTAGCAAGGCAGGTTTCTTGTAGGTTACGTAACATGGGTAGGTGGGATTGGTTAAGATCGCGGATTGAGTAGATATCCCGCCGCTTCACTATCGCTAAACAGTACATATTTTCTACAGTAGTCATATCCCATTTCAAGTCCGCAGCTAAGACGAATCCCTCATTTTCATCCTCATTTTTGCAGAGTATTCTGTCTTGCTCGGCTCTCCCTTCTAGAATGTTATACACCCATTTGTGATCGCCCAGATGGTTAAGGATGTATGGTTTAGTGATTGTCTGGTATATCTGGGGGGTTTCTGTGACGAAGTAGGATGGTTTGGTGGTGAACTTGTTGATTAGTTTCTGGGTGGCCGGGTGGATCACAGTAGTTTTGATGGAGTTGGTTCCAGTCGGGGGATCAAGTTGGAATATGTTGAATATGTCGTTGTTCATCGTCAACTTCACCACTGAAATTATTAACTGTTAACAAATTTAGTACTGTTATGTAGGTAGGTAAGAAAGTACGAACTTCTATATGGGTTATATTTGATCGATTTGTCTAATTTATATAATGGTTTAAAATAAATTAGGAACGACCTGAAGACTGAAGTGTATTGAATACAATTTTATTAGTCAACAGAATGAAAAATAAAATTACGATACAGCAGTCTGTAAATTACTGATTTCTTCGGAAAATCTGAATTTGAGTAGGTATTTGATTCAAAGTTTGCCAATCCTTCACAGTTAGTACAGTAATGATCAAAACTTGCAAACTTAAAACTAACAAACCTGATACTATTTAACTACTCAACCAGATTTAAACATGATTACTTACCAGACAGTTCGGAGAGGAACAACTTGACACGCTCCAGATTAATACTGTTAGTTTCAAACAGGACGACAGCAGGACCCTCCAGCCCGGAGATAACACCCCTGGTGAAGACCACCTTCCCGTCATCACTCTGTCCTAACAGTTCCGTTATTGTGTAGTCTGACATGTTGCTGATAACTGGTTGTACAGCATTCTCACCTGCAGAGAGGGAATTGTTAGTCGTGACTAAGAAAAGTCTAACTTCCTTAGAAACTCAAACATTTTTAAACAAAATTATGGCAACAGTCTCAATAGTATGTAGAACATAATTGATTACGTCGATTACGTGCTTCACGACATCATAAAAATATACGTTTCCATGGTAATGTTAAAGACGTTAGATAAATCCGAGGGAAAAGCCCGTACTTGCAGGCTCGGGAGCTGGAGCATGATTACCCTGGTCTAACCTTCCCTTCTTAGCCGGCATTTCTCCTTCTACCTCTTGAGAGGGAACGCCCATGTTTGTAAGCTAGGCCTGTTTAGATACTTTATTAGAACAATGAGGGTTAGTTTTCTTTACGTAGTGAAGAGTCAATACGATATATAATCTAAATGAATGAAACATAGTTTCAGTTTAATTACTCATGTTGGAGCTTCATGTGATCAGGACCCGTACATAACAATTTATTTTTGATGAGGTTATACAATTGGAATATTGCCAAATTTCAAGTTTGAATTATTGAGAAACAGTAATAGAGGGGAAACCATTAAAAAGCATACTCTAGAAATGGGAAACTACAAGACGTTAAAGTTAAAGACTTGGTACGATGAATTGTCTAATACTGAATCAAAATAATTGTCCCAAGGGCATTGCATTGGCCCATTGCAATGTTTATAAACAATACTCAATACTGTCCGTTTCTAATATCTCAACAACAAAAGTTTTAAATTTGGGTAAGCAATTAACTGAAAATAAGAGTTGACAATATCATAATTAAACTGGATTTGTTAAACTTGATGAAATGAAAGTAGTGTAGTTTACATTGCTGCACTGTATACACTGTACCTACCAATACAATGATTGAAATAAAGAGAGAAAGTGCATTAACATAGTAGGCTAACTGTATTGTTCAGATTCAACCTTCCGGCGCTCTTGTAAACATGTCTGTATCACGATCCCAACAAATACGGAAAACATCAAATTTAATTGTATTAAAATACACAGTTCACTGTTCAGGAATCAACTTTCATTATAATATGGTCTTTCAGCCACTTGAACTCGAGGAGCTACTCGATTGTTTTCTCTTTCTTTCACTCCTCTTATTTCTACTGATTTTTTCTTTTGACGATTTATTTGCATGACTGGATTTAGATTTACTGTTTTTCTCTGAGGCTGAATCAGAATCAGATGATGAATCATGACGGATTGTCTTTCTGCTTGATTTCACTGGTTCTGGATCAGATGATGACTCATGTCGAGCAGCTTTCTTATTCACTTTATCAGGTTCGGAATCTGAAGATGAGTCTGATGGGGGAGTAACTTGACGCTTTTTTTCTTTACCTTTACTGCGATGTACGGGTCGGGGAGGGGATTTTGAAGGAGATCTTCTGGATCTTCGTTTGGTAACTTTTTTTCTGTTGGAGTCAGAGTCAGAACTCTCGGTGTCGTGTCTCTGTCGTCTGACCTCTAACTTATCTGACTTTCTGTTTTTCAACACACTGGAATCGTGCCGTTTGACATTATTAGATTCTGAGGATTTTCTTCTCAACTGAACTTTTACCTTCGACTCTTGATCGCTAGAGTCTGGTGAATCGCGTCTCTGCTTGTTCCTAGAATCTCGTCTGTGGCTTTTCCCTGTTCTATGGTCTCTATCTGACTTTGAAGAATTGGGTTGTGGCGATTTGGAACGTCTCTTGATGTCCATCTCATGTCCCCTAGATCTGGATCTGGATCTTCGTCTAGATCTTTCTTGCTGTTCTCGTCTGGGAGACCTTTGTCTAGTGGGATTCCTCTCTTCAGCAGGAGATCTTGATCGTCTCGAGATTTTCTCCCTACTCTCTCTTCTAGGCGCACGCTTAGGAGAAGTAGAGTCGAGTCTTTCTCTTCTTGGTGGAGATCTTCCTTGCTGTTCACGTCGTGGAGATCTACCTTGCTGTTCACGTCTTGGAGATCTACCTTGCTGTTCACGTCGAGGAGATCTTGTCCTAGCAAGATTCTTCCCACGACCGTGCCCATAACCAAAAGCAGGAGATCTCGAACGTCTTTGAATTTGATCTCTATCGTCTCTTCTGGGAGCACGTTGAGGTGAAGAAGAGTTGAGTCTTTCTCTTCTAGGTGGAGACCTACGACGATTTGGCAAGGTTTCAGAAGTCATGTCCTGGTTTCTGTGTTCTCTTTCTGCAGGAATAGGTTCCACTTCTGTGACAACAGTGTCGTCCTGGGTTGTTTTCTCGTGTTTTGCTTTCTTCTCCTTCTTATGCTTTTTCTTCTTATGTTTTGCCTTACCAACTCCCCCTGCTCCTGGACCACTTTTATTCAGTTTCTTCATTAGCTTTCTCTTCTGCTTGTCAGACAGGTTAGCAATAAATGCAACTTCAGGGTCCAACTTTTCATCTTCAAGCATCTTATATTTATCATCATGCACATCCATGACAGAGTTGACGGCATGTTTTCTCATCTTGAGTCCACCCTTTTCCATTGAATTCAACAGGGACATGGGATCCTCCTTTCCCAGGTCAGGAGGATTATCCTCTGTGTTCATACCTCTATTGTATAAGGGGCATATCTTGTCTGTGTTCATGTGACCCCATACACCGCACTTTATGCACTTGGTATTCCTCACTTCAATACCAAATGGCCGATCAGCGACATCCAAATTCTTGGCATATTCACCTGCACGTGGAGCATTTTTTTGCCACTCGAATCTGACCTCCCGGAGCTCCAACTTTTCGTCTTTCTTTCGGCACTGTAAAGGTGGTTCATACATGAAGGACAACTTATCCTCTCCGGTTAGCTTCCCATGTTTCAACAGATTTTTGTTCTCATAAATTGCTTGTTCTTTCAAGTATTGTTTGTGGAGGTCTTCCTGTGCTTTCTTTTCAGATTCGTGCTTCTGTTCAGCAATCCAAGTTCGTTTCTGATTTTCATATGTATGAGGATGGAAGAACTTGTTTCGCATAAACTTTACAAACGCCATGATTGAGTTGGTTTGACCTAAGGAGTATATTGATTAGCAATATAAAATAGATACTTCAAGTTGTGACCTATATCACTATCTCATAAGAATATTAATCTTCTGATACAATACACAGGTTCGTTTGAATTTTCAATGATGCAATTAGTTAGCAATGCAGAAACAATTAAAATAGAAAGCAGTAAGAAGCACACAAACATCTTCAAGTTTTACAAATTCTGTTCAATTGCAAAAATTCTATTATAAATAATATCAGAATAGTAAACAATAATATTAAAACGCTCTTAAAAGACCATTCAGCATTAGGTCATTTCGCTAGTTTTTGATAAGATTCATCAAAACATATCTCTGGTAAAACGTTTCTAAGGTAAAATTTAAAATCAGGAGCCTGGGATGAGAGATCATCAAGATCTAACATTTAAATTTAATTAAATATGCTAATATTAGAACAATTAGCTACCTCTATGTAGTATGTACTCATGGTAGTTAACATTCTAAAGCCTAAACACAATCCTAACCTAAAGGTCTAAACAGGTCTAAACAGGAAAACAATCAAAATAATGGTCTTTTTTCACAGCTCAACAATAAACGGGTGCTAAGTCCCTGCCCTTCCACTCTCTGTGGCAAGTTATCCTTAAAACCTAAACTTCATGCAGCAAACGGGAAAATTAAAAACGTATCTAGTCTGAATGTACAGGTGTAACTCAAGGTGTCATTGTTTCCGAAAAGTCTGGTTTGAATCTCTTGCTGGGTGCTTGGTAATCTGAATCTGGTGACTGATCTATCTGGGATGATGAGACGTTGGGACCACTTCGTGCTAGTGGGGACATCTCCAGGGAATTGTTTGCACCGATACCTTAAACATGCAATTCTTAAAGTGAACTTAGTCATTTTAAGGGAAAAAATGTATCATGTATATCACAATTTTCAAGCGCATTCTGAGGATAAAATTTTAAAATTGCAAACAAACCACTTTCTCTCTGCTTTTTTCGATCCAGTGCTCGGATCCTGTTTTGCCTCATTCGCTCAATCTGCTCAGAACTGAGAGAGGGAGTTTCTGTAGGGGGCGGTAGATCTGGATGTGGGGCCGGCTCTCTCAGAGCTTCTCCAAACAGACCTGAGTCCGTGTCTTCCTCCTAAAGCACAGGATATACAGTTATTTTTTCCATTTCACCCTTTTGAAAAAAGGCAATAGTGAAAGGTTACGAATGGACGTTTTTGCAGAAAAACGTGGATTTTGGAGATTGCGGTAGGTGGGTCTGAACATGTCGTGGGTACTTCCGTATGTTACCATGCAACGAAAAAGTTGTGCGCGCGCAAGGATTGCTTGCGGAGATGTGATGTATAGATAGCCTGTGATCTATGAATGCGCGGCGCGACTGTGTTTTAATGTTTACGATGTTATGTATAATATTAGGTTGTAAGCCCAATTTGTACGTGGCACACGTAGTGTATTGATGTGTACACGAGTATAGTTTACCTTTGCTTACAATTTAAGTTCTTTGCTTTACAAGTTAAGTTCTTTGGCAATTGAACTGAATTTCAAGTGTTTCCTGTACTTAATGCATAATTTATCAATATTATTATCATGAACATGGAAATGAGCTGATTGGAGCTTATACTTAAATTTATATTAAATATGGAATGGAAATCTAGCGTCCGCCAAAACGAAACAACGGGCGCAATTCTTGTTTACACTCAAAATAACGTATATTATAATTATATTTAAATGACACATTATCATTATTTTGATGTGACTCTTTCTATTTAAATTAATACACCTAGACTAATCAATTTCTAGCTTGGATAGCTCAATCGAACACAGGTAGACAGTTGCAGTTGTCTTATAGTTAGTTAGCACAAACCATATACTGAGGTGCCTCATCATCATCTTCGTCTCCATTTTCTTTGCCAGTGACAAGAGCCATGCGCCTCGATTCCTCATAAATCTCCATTCGCTTGTTAAAACACTTTTTTCTGTTCTTCAGACCCAAGTTCTCAACCTGCATATTGTTTCGATAAGATTGTTGCCAGCAATGTTCATTTTACGTAAAAATATACTTACGCAGTAAAACTTTATTAGGTTTGAACACTTTGAATTTAAGAACAGAAGTCATCATTCATCAAGCGAATATAATAATGGCTTTAAGTTTTAAACTAGCTGTACTATGATATACCTTTTCTATAACGTCTTTAAATGTCATTTTGGGATACAGTCTGTGGGCCCAGTGTTCATAAGCCTTGCAGATATTTGTGATGTCTTCAAGCTCATGTCCCTTTCCTCTGAATTTCAAGGGTTTGATATGATTGGGAATTGCTGACAATCCTCTATCTGAGAACAATTTATCAAGATCTAACTTTAGAAGAACTCGTTTGGGCTTTTTGACTTTAGTGATGTCGTCATCCCCACCGGGATTTAGGATTTTGATTTGTCTGTCAGGAACTTCTTCAGCTGTGAGATTTCAAATGGTTATTTCATGCCCAAATTAATTTAATTTAAAACTATAGAATTAATTGCACCACTCAAAAATCAGCATGTTCCATATTCATAATTAAAGTGACTAATCTGACAAACCCTCTTCTCCAAATGGTTCCTCTTCGTTGCCAAAGAGCTCATTCATGACCTGAAATTTTTATTACATTAACAATCAACTTAACAAATATTGATAAATTTATGGGGATTTGCTAGGTCAGCCATGATGAATTGTTGATTGAGTAAGCGGTAGTGAAAATATATTTAAGTACAAAACTTACATCTCGATCATCCGGAGTTTCAGAAGGGTCATTATCCAAAATATCAGCAAATTGCTGAGCAACTTCATCCATGAGTAGTGAGTACAACCTTCCAACACCTACTACATTGAATGACTGATTACGATATGAAATATTATATACATTACTCTTCAACTTCATGACTTAAGGATTTGAATTTTCTTCAAGCTCAGGGTTGTACTCAGTGAACAAGATCCCCTCCCTTCAATTGTGATCAGTATATTATAATCTCTTAAGTCATTTTTGGAGGTGGAGAGTGCCTTTTCAATGCATGAGCCAGGGATCCCCTTCATTATAGTTGAAATTCTTAACTTTCTAATGATAAATCAAAATTTATGTAATTCCAAAATCAAAGCTTTGCAAGCCCTTGCCACACTATGCTTGTCCCTTTCATCACACTCACACTGGCCTCACTGATTAAAAACTGTGAAGTGTAGGCCATGGCCAGGCGGTCAGCAAGTTACTCAGTTAATGTACTGGGTTATATCTAATCTTAGAGTTAAAGATTTAGATATAACTAGGGCTGAAGATTTCAAGATTATGAGATGAAATGAAATGAAAATAAAAATACAATTTCGAAATAAATGAAAGTACACTTTCCATGTAGCAGTAAAATTTACATACTCATGCCAAAACAACAAGCGGGTCAGACCCTCACCAAACAATCATCCCCTGATAGTCTATGAATTAGGACTAGTATCAAACAATTTCCAACAAAATGATACTGCTCAGCCATGGCCAAGGACTAATATTTTAAATATTTTAAGAAGACCTCTCAAGAAATGATACCCCTCCGCCACTGCCCACCATGATACTAAAAGTGTTGATCTGGTTAAGGTCCTTGAAATCAGTTGTGGCAAAGTTTCGACTCCTCTGTAACCCCTTTGCCACTTTGTCTCAAAAGTTTGACTTGAATGATCTTATTTTTTTCCACAAAGTTCTGAACAATTTAATTCCTGTATCGCTGCCTCACTATCTCTCTTTATATCAGGGCACTTCTCGACTAAGACGTTGCCACCTCGACAGTCTGTCTATTGTGTCATCAATTTTACCTAAGTTAAGTCAGAATTCACACACCTTATGTACCTCAAATAGCCCACTGGCAAAATCATTTTTCTACAGAACTCATATACTGTGGAATGGACTCCCTTTACAGGTAAGACAGATTGTGTCTACTAGTCTTTTCAAAGCTGAGGTCACTAAGCATCTATGGAAATGTTTATTGGATAGTGAAACAACAGCCTAGCCTAGTCTCTTTGCTCCCCATATTATTATTATTTTTGTTTTATTAATTTTTTATCTACCTTCCTATACTTTCAACATCATATCCCACTTCACCCGCACACCTCTCACACATTAATGACCATATCAGACCTGTATCTAATGTATCTGGAATTCGACGTATTGAAATACCAATCTTGACTATATATCATCCACAGTTATTCACCATGGATTTGTTTGTTATTAAATAGTTTTTCATAAATTTTTGGATTTAGATTAATTCGATGTAATGGGTCCAAGTTGCTGCGGACATAGTTCACTATGTGTTTACCGTGTTTGGGTGCCCATCATATTTTACAGATGGGGGCGATATTTTGAACGATTCTATTTTATATTCATCTATTGCTGTACTCTGTAAAATTTGAAAAGTATTTAATAAAAAAAAAAATTGCCAGTGGTGTAACGAAGTCCCCGCTGAAAAACTTATAACTGAGGTACTAGCAAAACTACGCATTTTGCTCTAAAAACACACAGTTTTAGAGATTTTACCATCGTATCCTCTAAAATATTATATGTGAATAAAATGTTTCAAACAGTATACACATAAAGTCACAATGACCCTATATAAAAATAACCCTTCAAAAACTCAATATTTTGAAAATCACCCTTGGCCTTGCGGCTCCAAGTTCAAATCTAGACTGTCTATATTGACAAAGTTCTTTCTCGCCCCTCTGTCTCCCCGGAGAGAAATTACCGTCATTCTTAAGATTTCGAAACGAAGGCGCTTCCTAATGTATCCCACAGCATCTGAGTACCTCTGCCCTGTGTGGTATTCCATCTTATATTCCATCTTATATTCCATCTTAATCCTCTAAAATCACCTAATTTGTTCAATTTTAGGGAGGGGCACCAAAAGGGGAAGCCAACAGGCAACGTTACATCACTGCCGGCCCTGGGCCCTGATAGAGATGCAACATGTTTGGAGCAGATTGGATCACATTCTGCATCTCACCTCGGCTTTTACTAATTCGCTCGCCCAAAAATTTAACGTGACTTTGGATTTTATGGTTTTGCAGCCGTACAAAACGGTTTAACATAAACCCTTGTCCCAACCCTAACCCTAACCATAACTCCGAAGCTATCCATAACACTACCCCGAGCCACAAACAATCGAATTCATGTTTTACTGGCCTGTCATGTGACTAAAACGGTTTTTTGCCCACAACTCTCCAGAGAAGCATTTTTACCCTACGTCATGGGGGCCGGGTAATTTGGAATCAGGAATCAGCGTCCAAAAATACACCTGACACCGATTTAAATCAATTTCATACCCAAACACCAAAGGGCCTTTTCACAAAAATGTTCTTAAAATTTGGGCGAGCGAATTAGTATAGGAGCGTTTCACCTCTGATTAAAATAAAGGACATTTATTGGGGTGATAACCATATATGATATTATATATACTTTAATATACTTTAATATACTTTAATATACTTTAATATACTTTAATATACTTTAATATACCAGTTATACTATACCTACCTTACGACACATATTTAAAATGTACCCAGCGGAAACCTTATACTGGCGGGGACCTAACTTTGAGTAAAAGAAATAAATACTTCTGGTTTTTAGCAAAATTGAAAATGATCGTACCTTGTAAAAATAACGTTTCCTCCCCAATACAAGTAATAAGGAAAATTAGCTTACCCGGGGACCCCAGGCTATTATGTTCATAAACATAATAGCCTGTCATTCCGCCGAATAAAGATTCGGCGGAATGACAGGCTGAGCGCCGCCCAGTAATGCTTAACGGGTGATACTGTACTCGTAAAATATTTGTTCCATATATTAGGACCGTCGAGGAGTCCGACTCGGTGCGCTTCCTGGTAGGTTATAAACATACAACTTTGTTTTGGTTACAAGGAGGATCGTTTGGGAATTGTTTAGAAATTGCTATAAGTAGTAGGCCGTGCGCCATCGACCGTAAGACGCGCGGCGCGCTGACAATTGAATGGTTTTTAGGTCGTATTTCGGCCAGCACATTATTATAAATTAGAGGATTATACAAAGAGGATAGTTTAGCTTAGTAATTGTTATTAGAGCATAAAGTTATGGTATGGGGAGCAGAGAGTTCGAGTTTTAACATGTCTGTTTTGATTAATGGCCCATTGTTAGCCCCAATTCAAGCGTTTTGGTCCATCATTCCTGCCACTCAGCATTGCCTACTAGACTAGGTAAAGTAGACATTTTCTGAGACAATAAAGAAACTGACCTTGTCTCACTAAATTCAACCACTTTCCATAATAAAAATACTAACAAATAAAGTTTTTGAAATAATTATATACAACCACTAAAAAATATTTCCTCAAGTATACTTCTAGTTAACTAATTCGTGGTTTAAGCTCTTATTTTATTTATGAAAGGAATGTGAAATAAAACTTATAATTTCATTGAAAACTTGTTGTAGGTTTACAACCTACCAAGACGCGCGCCGAGTTGGACGGAACAAATATTTTACGAGTATCACCCGTTAAAAAATTTGTTGTTTCATTGATTATTGCAAAGGGTAAATTTTAACATCTCTGTTTTGGATTGCTCTAACCAGAGCCCTCTCGCTTGCAGTAGCGCGCGACCGCAGTACGCGTAGGCACATGGCTATGTGAATGTTTTGGATACAAGGAGGATTACCTAGGGACATCAGGCTATCATGTTCATAAACATATGAATAGAGATTAGGCGGAATGACAAGCTGAGCGCGGCCCAGTAAAAGGAGGATAGTTTGGGAATTGTTTAGAGATTGCTAGAAGTAGTAGGGCGTAGGCCCGTGCGTCATCGACCGTAAAACGCGCGAGCTCATGACAATCAACAATTGAATGTTTTTTAGCTCGTACTTTGGCCAGCACATTATTTCGGAAACAATCAAAAAGTTATAATACTAATTCCCATTAGATAACAATTTTGTCGAAATTTGGTCAGCTTACGTAAACACTTATGTTTAATTACTGAACCTAAATTAGTTTCAGCAATTTCGATGGTCAGAATTTGAGTTATCAACGAATTTTGTCATTTTTAGACCTCTTAGTACTAGAACGAGTGGGAGATTGTTTATTAATATTATATATGGGGATATTTAAGAGTGGGCCTCATGGATGGCAGGACACACTTTTTGGTTTGAATACAGCTAGCAGAATGTAATTACAGTTGTACAACTTACAATTGTAAGGAAAAGACCATTTTATATAGTACTAAAACTGCTAAAACGAGTATATGGACACGTTCATTGAAGTTTGAGGATATTGGTAAATATTAGTGACCTTACTGAATGGCACGATGATGTAAAATGTGTCACACTATGAAACTATATAAACCCTCTAACCCTAAGATAATCGTTTCATCCTCTAGATAAACTTTGTCGCATAACGATATCTTTATCAGACGATAAGATATCGCTTAAATGCGGCCGGCAGTGAGTTGTAAACTTTGTCACACTATAAAAACGTGACGGAGTTTATATGGACCCCTTGTTGCCGTGTTTGACCAAATTTTCGAATTTCCAATTCATAGAATAGCTGTATATGACTATTATCTACATATTTAGCGACTTTTTTCCTTAAATGGTAGTACCATGTAAACTCCGTCACACATTTAAGAAATTTATATGAGGGATGTTTATGACATCCTGACAAGAAATGCCGAATAGTCTAGCATTATTTTGTGAGCTGAATGTGTTTGGAATTGTTCACATATTTCATTGTTATAGGCAAATACAAATACAGAAGGCAGAAATAGGTAAATTTAGTCACATAAATTTGTATGATATCTCAACATGTGTGAAATTGAGTAAATATTAGTATACCAACTTAAACACCCTATATTACGTACTATGAATCAATTAACAATATTTCAACCATACGCCGGTCATATAAATTATTATATGGCAGTGATATGTTAACATTGGATAAATTTCAACACCTGAACAGGGTAAAAATTTGTAATTTTCGTCACAAAAAAATATTACAACTTTATTTGCTCCGTGTTGGCAAAATAACTAATTTATCGACATAGTGATGGTGATAAAGTGACATTATATACTAATTGAGGTATGATTCTTCAAAATAGGGGCAAGAAATGTAAATTTCGTCACATCAGCCATTGCATTAGTTAGATAGATTTTCTTTCATATCAACTGCCCTTATTATAGTTGGAATGGATTTATACAGGAAATATAGAAACCCATGCCCATTTTTCATCACATTGAAATTATACTGTTGGGGCAGGAAAAGTAAATTTCGTCACATTTCGGTAAATTAGTGATATTAAACTCAGCATTGTTCAACTCGAGTTCTGATTTGCTGAAAAATAACCTACCAATAATTCCTGGAAGAATATTGAATTCTAATCGGGGTATGGTTCTTCAAAATAGGGTCAAGAAATGTAAATTTCGTCACATACGTCATTGTAAAATTTAGATACATTTTCTTTCACATCAACAGTCCTAACTATAGTTTGAAATGAACAATTCAGAGATGAAGGAAATATAGAAACCCATGCCCATTTTTCATCACATTGAAATTATACTTTTGGGGCAGTAAAAGTGAATTTCGTCACATTTCGGTAACTTAGTATAATTAAACTCAGAATTGTCAAACTTGAGTTCTGATGATCTGCTTAATAATAACCTACTAATAATTCATGGAAGAATATTGAATTCTAATCGGGGTATGGTTCTTCAAAATAGGGTCAAGAAATGTAAATTTTGTCACATACGTCATTAATGTAAAATTTAGATACACTTTCTTTCACATCAACAGTCCTAATTATAGTTTGAAATGATTAATTCAGAAATAAGGAAATATAGAAACCCATGCCCATTTTTCATCACATTGAAATTATACTGTTGGGGCAGGAAAAGTAAATTTCGTCACATCTCGGTAACTTAGTAAAATTAAACTCAGAATTGTTAAACTACAATATACACATAATATAGCAATGGCCAATTGGCTGACTATAAGGTCACGGCCTGAACAAACAATTTTTTTTTAAATAGTCAAGTGATGCTAAAGCAGAGCACAAATGTGTAATAAGTTAATAGATTAAAAAACTGATTCATGTGATGCATTCGCAGAGCACAGATAAAAATACTGATCCAATGATTAAAATTATAGCTGTGTTCTGATTTGTTGAATAATAACCTACTAATAATTCCTGGAAGAATATTGAATTCTAATCGAGGCATGTTTCTTCAAAATAGGGTCAAGAAATGTAAATTTCGTCACATCAGCCATTGCATTAGTTAGATAGATTTTTTTTCATATTCATTCTTCTTGACCACTCTGAACCATTTCAAGGTGAAGCCTGGAGCCAATTTGAAACCATAAGCGACAATGATCTCAAAAAGATTCTTTCTGACCTTAACAAAAAAGAATGTGAAGAGGATCCCATCCCTCTAAAACTTCTAATGCAGTGTTTTAATGAAGTTAAACCAATTGTGTCATTTATTATCAATGACTCACTTGTCACTGGAAAATTTCCGTCAGTCCTAAAGAGTGCTCTTGTCAGACCAGCCATCAAAGATGATAAAGGAGATGTCAATAGCTTCAACAACTATAGACCGATTAGTAACTTACCTTTCCTCTCGAAACTCATTGAAAAGAGCGTCCAGAAACAGATGACCAAACATCTTGACTATCACAATCTTCATGCTGAGCATCAAAGTGGTTATAGGTCAAATCATAGCTGCGAAACTGCGACCCTTACCATCTACAATGATCTTCTTTGTATCAGTGACATGAAAAGTAAGGTTATCCTCCTCCTTTTGGACCTCAGTGCTGCTTTTGATACTGTAAATCATCACTTGCTCCTAAAAAAACTAAAAAAGGACTTTGGTTTTGAAGGTACTGTTCTCGAATGGTTTACATCATACCTTAATAACAGATCCTTCAAGGTAACTATTGATAAATCAAGATCAAAGAGATGCTTCCTTAGAATTGGAGTCCCGCAAGGTTCAATTCTATACTTTACACAAAGGAGCTCAATCAGATCGCAAAGAGACATGGATTTAACATCCACATGTACGCAGATGACACTCAACTGTACATTGAGTTTAACCCACTATTTCGAGATCTCTCAACAATCGAAGAGAGAATAACAAATTGTTTTGAAGATATTAAGACCTGGATGACCCAAAATAAACTCAAACTGAACCAAAACAAAACAGAAGCTCTTGTAGTACAGACCAAGAACAGTTACTCTTCATGTCCAGTCGATTCAATACAACTTGACAATGCAGCTGACCCTGTGGATGCATCCCGCACAGTGAAAAGTTTAGGTGTCCTATTTGATCAATTCCTAACATTTGAAGACCAAATAAATTCAATTATCAGTTGCTGCAACATCCATCTGAGAAACCTTCGAGTTATAGGCTCAAAGCTTAACTATGATCTAAAAAGACAGCTCATTCACTGCTTGATCTTTTCAAAACTAGACTACTGCAATGGACTCTTATACGGTTTACCTGATCTTCTAATAAAGAAACTCCAGAAGGTACAAAATTCCTGTGTTCGATTCTTGTTTGGTTGGAAAGCTATCAAAAAATGGGACAGTGTCACTCCATTCCTGAAAAAAGCCCATTTTCTTCCGATACGACAACGAATAGAGTATAAGATTGCTCTAACCGTGTTCAAATGCGTTAACAACATAGCGCCGGAGTTGTCATACGTTGTATGACCCGCCTGTAGCGTCGAAGACGCTACAGGGGGTCATAGCCGTTTTGCAAACAATAACAAACCAAAAGGGAACTCAGTCAGTTCCCTCCATAATAAAGCGCCGCGCCATACGTGATTGTACTGAATATTTGTGTGCTGCTAATATGAATTGTTTGCGGAGGGTTGCTATAACCTTTTTAACTATGAAAGTATGTGGCCATTTATAGGTCTATTTTATTTGTGTAGTGTTGCTAAGCTTTTAAGATATGAAATTATTTGGCCACATAAAGATCTATTTTAAAATGCTTGCGGTGTAAACGGAATGAATGTCACATTGCTTTTTAAGTTAACAATAACAGTTAATTCGTCTGCACTCATGTGTGATGACCATTATGTGTCTGCCTTGTCAGTTGTCATTAAGTTTTGCGTCGTAACTCGTGACCCTCTTCATCATTTCATTCAATAACTTCTACCCGTACAATTAACGATTAATCCAAATATGGGCATGTCGTCCAGTGTCCACTATGTCTGTACTTCAGTTATTTTGTCCTCATCTTTACTGGCTGCAGTGTAAGCTGTTGTATTACACTTACACTCCTCTATAAACGAATTGGTCTTATTTGTCAAGTTTCCGACTCTTTCGCCCCAATTTTATTTGGAACTTCGTTCTTCTTAAAACTTCTCCCGCATTTTAAACTCTGGTTACCATATCCTGGAGACAGCCTTAAGTAGAACATACGTTCGTGATTTCAGGAATTAATTTAAAGGCACCGTTCCGACTGGACCTGTTTTTATTACTATAAATGTAACTCTATGAAATATTTTTTGTTTACACTTGGTTTTGCTGTCATCTACCCGTACAATGTCCACTATGTCTGTACTTCAGTTATTTTGTCCTCATCTTTACTGGCTGCAGAGTGCAGTGTCAGCTGTTGTATTACACTTACACTCCTCTATACACCCCTTATTTGTCTTAAACTTCTCCCGCATTTTAAACTCTGGTTACCATCATGGAGACAGCCTTAAGTAGAACATACGTTCGTGATTTCAGCAATTAATTTAAAGGCACCGTTCCGACTGGACCTGTAACTCTATTACTATAAATATAACTCTATGTAATATTTTTTGTTTACACTTAGTTTTGCTGTCATCTACCCGTACAATTAACGATTAATCCAAATATGGGCATGTCGTCCAGTGTCCACTATGTCTGTACTTCAGTTATTTGTCCTCATCTTTACTGGCTGCAGTGTAAGCTGTTGTTTTACACTTACACTCCTCTATAAACGAATTGGTCTTATTTGTCAAGTTTCCGACTCTTTCGCCCCAATTTTATTTGGAACTTCTGTTCCAAATAAAATTATTATAGTGTCAAGTCAACACTGTTGACGTGACTATTATATTAATAAATTAATCGACTCTAGAGATTTTGCTTTTATATTTGAAACAACTACCGTCCACGAAGGATTATATTTATTGCTATTTTATTTTATACTTACCAGAATCTGATTTCTCTATTAGATGTGTTGAAGTCAAAGATAATACTGGATTTTTGTTCGACCTTATACTTTTCTGCTGAAGCTCCATAACGGTCAACACGTATAATACCTCTCTGGGAACCTATTTGTGCATTCATGAAGGATGAAACCCGAAGGTGAGTTATGGACTTATTCTAAATTCTAATATTCTCATAATATCTAACTGCTTCCCTACTTACCCCTAACTTGAGTGCTTGTGAACCACATCAAAACCCTGATTTATCATACACCACGATTAATCGCACAAGTTGTCTTTCCCTCAAACTGCAAACTGAGCAGTAAATCGTGGTGTTACTGTACATGGTTTGCCTGGTGAATACCATGATTACAATATTAAGTTTATGATAACAATTCTTCTAACCCTTAACACATTACGCCCACTTTGCAGTTGACGAACAGAGAAAAAGTCATATCTTGGGATATGGACCGATACATCAGTTGATCTTTGAATAAGAGGTGAGAATTAATTTTAAATATATCGATTTTGTAGGGTTTAATTTTATTATGAGGTCCTATTATGCATCATATAATGGGTTCGGAATGATACTATCATGCCCACACAAGTCAACATATCAGAACAAGTCAAGTTACACGGCCACAAAGATTTTCCAATCAGACAATGTACCAGTCCTGCTTGAGTTGATCGGATCTATATAATATATCAGATTTGTCCTAGTTTGTCGGTCAACTGCTGTCAGAATCAAGTTTCATGACCCCCCCCCCCCCCCCCCCCCCCCCCCTCGCACAGACAAATACTACTGATAAACATCCTGACTCATATACTGATGTAATCTAGCAGTTTGGCTAGAACTATGCCAACAATAATTGATAGGTGAACTGTGCTGAAACCGTGCCAGATTATCTGGCATTACTAAAATATTGCTTGTGATTGTTAATCAGTCACCCGTCTAATTGTAGATGATGGTTATCACTGTAATAGTCCGAAGGTCGCAAACTTGCTCTGTTCCTCAACCCATATCGTGGTTCTGGTTCCGGTATCTCTTGATCACTTGATGGTTCTGTTCTCCAGCATCCAGCTGATCTGTGCCTTTATCACTATAGTCTCACGATGCAAACGTTGAGTTTTTACTTTCCTGTTCTTCTAAAAATCCGCTCCATCGATCACTTTCTACTTTAATTATTTAATTCCGTTAGAGGAGTACTCCTTATTGATATGCAGTAGCTGATAGACTCGCAGTCCCTAGCCGTGTACTTGTCCGAGCAATTAAAATCAATTAGGGCTTGTGCTGATAGGAGAATAATGATAGTGGGGAATGTGGCAGTGTAAATATGAACCTGGAATTTAGGATGTGTGGCTCATCCATTAATATTATTATTAGTTGCCGCTAGTCTGTGCCCAGTTTGTTCTGGCTTTTTTGTGTACAAGTATTATATACATATCATAGTTTATTTTTGTAATATCATATAATATATAGTACGTAATAATAACCATATCACTAATAACTAATTAACTAATTAACTAATTAACTAATTAACTAATTAAATAATTAACTAATTAACTAATTCACTAAACTAATAGGGGGGCAGTAATATGACCGTTATATCCAGTAACTGTCAAACCCGTTGTTATCTTCTTAGTCCTGGAATATTATGTAATAGGAAACTGGGCCACGTGTCATTGTCATTTTCACTCTGCAGGTTCAAGAGCATGCGTTTTGTAGCCGATTTAAAAAGGTTTATGGAAAAAACGTTTGGGTAGGGCCGGGTGCTTACATTTGCATTTACAGCATAAATTGAGAGTAAAGGTTCTTTAAAGAACAAGCGAAAATCTGAAATATGTGGTGTTGCACTCGGCTAACCAGGAAGCTGCAGTCACGTGATCTGAGTTTGCAGAGGGTGCATTTTCTGGGATGGTCATACGGATTTGTTGAGTGACTGAGCTACGGAAGTGTTTGTTTCGGTGCATGAGAATTAGTGTGTTTTTTACAATAACACTGTGCACGGTGAGCATACCATTGTCATTGAAAAATTGTTTAGTGTGCTCTGGCAGTCGACCGTCTTTGTAAAAGTAATTAATGTAACCTGGCATTACTGCAGATGCAGATTGCAGCCTGATACCCTGTTTTTGTCGTGAGAAGAGTGATTCAGTATGATTTTTTGCTGCAAACCCCCATATAATTGAACAGAAGTTTAAATGCGATTGAACAAAACTTTGATATAAATGTCAATATGTTCATTATATGCAAGCCTCTTGATTTATAACTGTAGCCTTATTTGAATCGGTAGGTGATATAATTCCTACAGTAGGTGACATAATTCCATCATTTTTTCTAACAGCTGCGATATGCTTAGACCATGTTAATTTATCATCCATTATAACGCCAAGAAACCGTGCTTCCCTTTTACGATCTAATTGTGTGTCTGCAATATGAATATTTGGAGTATTGTCAGTATTTCTAACACCGAAAAGCATATAGCAGGTCTTTTTTAGATTAAGTGAAAGTCCATCACAGTCAACCCAGCGTACAAACTCGTGGGAGAATTGGTTGAATTTTGTATCGTGTGCATTTTTACCTTTTATTAGATGTTTAAAGACAAATACTACTGATAAACATCCTGACTCATATACTGATGTAATCTAGCAGCGTGGCTAGAACTATGCCAACAATAATTGATAGGTGAACTGTGCTCGGTTGGGCCTGGGTAACACTCAATCCCAGTCTTGAAACCGTGCCAGATTATCTGACATTACTAAAATATTGCTCGTGATTGTTAATCACCCGTCTAATTGTAGATGATGGTTATCACTGTAATAGTCTGGAGGTCGCAAACTTGCTCTGTTCCTCAACCCATATCGTGGTTCTGGTTCCGGTATCTCTTGATCACTTGATGGTTCTGTTCTCCAGCATCCAGCTGATCTGTGCCCAGTAATCGACCGGGATTCCCAGTACCGGGAATCCCGGTACCGGGATTGGCAATTATGAGCTATCCCGGTCCCGGTCAAATGCTGATTTATGATCTCGGTCCCGGTCCCGGTTAATTCAGGATTCTTGGTCCCGGTCAATCACTCAAATTTGCCGGGATTTTGGCCTGGATCTTTTACATAATTTCATTCACTGTGATTTTAAGTTTTTCCTTTCATTCATTTTGAATTTCATCTTTAAACATCCTCTGAGCCAAATAAAACAATGTTTAAAATTGCTAAACAAGTTTGAGTAATAAATTATGATCATGAATTAACCAGTAATCGGCCGGAATTCCCGGTACCGGGAATCCCGGTACCGAGATTGGCAATTTTGAGCTATCCCAGTCCCGGTCCCGGTCCCGGTCAAGTCACATTTTTCATCCCGGTCCTGGTCCCGGTCAAATTATGCGGATCCCCCAGACAACCATAACACGAGGTTAACGAAAATATGGAATATAATAACCCCTAACTTAAAAATATTTGATTATTCTGTTAGTATTTCTTGCCTGAAATCCACTTGCCAACCAGCATTGTCATGCCGTGCCAACCAGCATTGTCATGCCGTGTATGACTGGACAAATACAGATTTTGATATTATTAACCTTAAAATTTCGTAGGCTCCTGTAGGGATTCCACCTGACCTCCAAAATTTCATGACCAAATCGACTTACTCTGCCAGCTAAGCGTATTCCAGTTGAATGTGATGTGTGAGTGAGTAAGTGTAGTGTAAAGAGATCCTATTTTTGTATCCAATTTGAATTCTAATAAAGACCCTAAGCATTATGATCAAATTTTTAGTACAATAGTTATATCAGGGTTGAAAACTGAGAAAGGAAACTAATTATCTGCTTTCAGACTGTCTTTGAAGTTGAGGGTTAGTCTGTAGATCTTGTTAATGGTGCTGGTTGAGAGTTTGATCAAACTTACGTCCTCATCACTGGTAGTATCCTTGCAATCAGACTGCGACATGAACGTGGAGGCAAGATTGAAGCTACCATTACCAACATTGTTGAGTAGGTTTCCACTGAGATTTTGAAAATTGTCCCTAGGACCCTTCCCTAGGGGGCAGAAATGGAGCATATGATTCTCGTCCTCGATGAATAGCTGGTTGTTGTTAAGCTCGCAATAGTTGCAGGTCCTTTCATCAATTGGAGTTTGGTCATATCTCCCCCTTTCAATTCTAAGGTGATGCGAACTGGACCGAATCTGTGTGGTTGCCCTTCTGTCCTGAAAAGACCTAGCATAGGTTAGATATGGCTCCCATACAAATTCTGTTTTGACTTCACTGTAGAATGATAGCTTTCTAGAATCTTTCACAAGAGAACCCCAGGAATCGCGGAACTGTTTTTTCAGGTTCTCTGTGATTAAATCAGGGCTGCAGGAGTCTGCGAGTGAGGTTGCGTTCAACAGCGACGATGAATTCCTTTCAAGAAGGTCGATGTTGTTGAATGATTTGATGATTGATTCGATGCCTACAAACCATGACAATTTGAGGTTAATCTGCTCAGTCATTGCAGCTTTGACTAGTTGTGTAGAGGGGAGGCTCATAACTCTTTTGAAATATTTAGTACTCAGTTTCAACATTTCAATAATGATTGGGTATGAGCCAGTTTCTCCCCAGGCTGTAGCATTGACTGCCCTTCTGTTTATACCAAGAAGGTATTTTAGGTGTCGTAGATGCACTTGCTCAAGTTGCTGTTTAGCGATGTGAGAGACCGCATGATCAAGATTGTGAAACTTGCTGAAGCTAGAGAGGACCTTATTGACGGTGGGTAGAACCGGGGCCCAAACTTGACAGCCGTAAAGTAGAATTGGCTTAACAAGGGTGTTAAATAATTTGTTAAGGCAGGATGCATCAACAAATCTCCGGTCTATAGTGCTTCTCAAGCTGAAGTAAGCTCCAAGTCCTTTACGGTATAGAGAGTCAGTTGCTTGCCGAAATTTCCCTGTGCTGCTTATAATAATCCCAAGATAGCAGTAGCTGGAGACCATCTCGATATCTCTTTCGTGAATGGAAGGACGCCAATTTGGAATGTCTGGTCCTTTGCCATTGAAGACCATGAATTTGGTTTTGGAGATATTGATTTCCAGACCCCATTCGTTACAGTAGTCCCCAATAATCGTAAGCAACTTTTGGAGAGACTCAGGATCTAGGCCGAGGATTACTAGATCATCAGCCCACGCTAGGTGAGTCACTGAAAGTCCAGCGAGTGTCGGACAGTTCGCAGTAGCTTCGTTAAGGAGGTCAGAAAGCTTTTTAAAGTAAACTTTGAAAAACTCAGGGCTAAGTGGGTGTCCTTGTTCAGTTCCTTTAAGGATCTTGAATGCTTCACTTATTTTACCATTCATCTTGATATGACCCTCTGATTTGCTGTACATGTCTTTGATGATGTCGTAGTAGCCACCATTGACACCATAGCAGGCTAGTTTGAACATGAGAGCTTGTCTGCAGACTAGATCGAAAGCTTTGCGAAGATCAATGAACACTGCATATATTTTACTTTTGACTTTTTTGTATTTTTCTATGGTG